CTCCCTCTCTCGCCGACACCGTCCATCCTTCAGGGACCCCTGGACCTGCTGGAGCCGGCCTCTGGCATGAATGAATGGATGGATAGCCTTTGGAGTGATATAAACCTGGGTTTGAATTCCTGCTCAGCCACTTAACTGACGGCATGATCCAGGAACACTACTAAATCTTTCTCATAGGGTTGCTGGGGACTGAAGGAGGTTCCACACATGAAGTTCAAGCACAGGGTCAGCACATCACAGGGTGCTTTTCCAGTACAACTGAGCTACTTCCCTGAGCCGTCTCAGCTACCACAGCAGCTCTGGGACTCATTCAAAGTCACACCTTACACTGTCCTTCAAACAACAGTAAAGTGCTGCTTTATTTTTAAGAAGGTAAGAATTGTGAATAGGATAAAAGTTGAGGCTCATAAGCCAAAGACTATTTTTCTTCCAAGATTTTTCTTCATTCACAGCAGAGTACAGTAACATCATAGCCTCTGAAGCAATAACTATAATAATTGTTCAGTTTCACCAAGATTTGGGAACTTTCTACAAACTAACGATCTATAAAATGTACATACTTCTGCATAATGTGTTGAGGTTATTATTTCATTTGTTATTAGACAGTAATAATATTTCTGCCAATTCTTCTGATAGCCCTATAGCTCCCACACTCACTATATTTGGTGAAAAATCTATAATTCAGGGATGGAAAAGAGCTCAAGGGTAGGTGTGTTTGAAGCAAAACCTAAAGGAAAAATATGAAAGTATTCCCCAAGATAATATAGAATTATTATTACATAGAAGTCTTGTGGAAGTCTTCTGGGATCGGATATATCTTTATACCAGGAGCCTAATAAAAAATATAACACTGAGATGGGTCTTACGGAGAAGGTATGTCATTGGTCCGAAAGTAAATCTTCCTCTCCTTCCCTTGCCTCTGAAGAGTGAGGGCTGCCACTGACTCCCCTGTCCTGACGGACGCCCCCTTTTAGAGTCCTTTCTGACTAGTCACTGGCAATGCCAAGCTCATGGAACTATGTGTGTCTCTGGCTTGGGCTCGTATGTTGACTATACCCCTTTCTTGTCTTTTCACTGTTCTTATGTCCACGTTCAGCTTTTTCAAGTGCCTCTGATTTCACTCCCTTGATTTCCAGATGGAGACCCCCAAATGAGAATCCCTTGGGACCAATGTTCCCTTACCTGAACCCTAGACAGGACAGTGTATATACATTGTAAGCTGTCTGGGTAACTCTCCAGAAGACCAGTGTCCACTGGTAACAACTAAAAGCAGCAGAGGCTCTGAAAGGAATCCTGTATGGCTCAACCAATATTACCATTTCCTGCCGGGACACAGATAGGAAAGACAACAGTGTCTCTTACCTGATAATCTGTCATGTCCTCTAGTCTGACAGTCACCTGCTAATGTGCCTGCTGGCATCTCAGGATGTCACAAGGGCAGAAGGAACCTGCAGAAAACCTTCTCCATTACTCTCAACTCCGTTCTCACTTGAGCAACCATGGCAGACCCTTTCCTGCTCTTAATCACAAGTTCATAAGCTGCTGGAACAGGAAGGGCCCATTAGACATACATACTCCAGGGCACATACAACCAGTGGAGACATGGAAACCCGGAGATGGAAAATGTCTTGTCCAAAGCTAGTGAACCACAGAGGTAGGGCTGCACATGCATTTCCGAAGACCACAGAATAGCTTCCGAGGGGATTCTTTTATTCAACAGATCAGTGAACTGGATTGTTTTTTTTTTCAAATTATGGTTTAAATAGGAACCTAGTATGTCACAGAAGTTGAGCCTCTATAATTTTCTTCTCTTATTCCAGGAAAAAAAGTGTCGTTACGCATTTTTTTTCTCATTTTTACATCGTGTGGTAGAGAAAGAATCACGTTGACAAATGGCAAAAGTAGCCGATTTAAAGTGGAGAACATTTTTTCACACTTCTCAAGTATATTTCTGTTGGCATATTTGTATTTCTCGTTACTGAAGAGTTTCCTCCTTCAGAAATACAATCTCAACTTGCTAACGGAGCAGGCCTGGTGTTTGTGAGAACAGAAGGGCTTTTCCTTTGATGCCATCTCTGAGCAGTTTCACACACTTGAACACCTGGAAATCAAACATCTTCACTGACTAAACACTTTTCCTGGTAATTAGATAAGTAGCTGGTTGCCTAGTTACTCCCAATCTCTCCTTTTCACTTGTGCTTTCATTGTTTCTGTTTTCTATCAGCATTTCAGTCATTACTGTCTCCTTTGGAAAACAGACATTTTTGTCAACAAATCTGAGGAAAACTTATAAAATGTCAGATGCCATGAGGCCTATATTCAAGGACGTCCAAGGGAACCCAGAAGATCGAATTGCCAGGACACAGTTTCTACCTGCTGGTCAGCCCCGAGGCTGACATTTTTGTAGAGGCTCTAACCAGTGTGATACCCAGCCTGGCTCAAGATATTTGCAGAAGGAACTAAGCTCATCCTAACTCCCCCAGGTAAGAAAGTTTGTTCTACTTTGATCATGTGAATGGAAAACTGACATATGTTGTCTAGAAAAAAGCAATTTAGGATCAAAGCAGCATATGGACAGCAATTTGCAGCTACCGGTCGCTCTATATGGAAATAAAACTGCTGTGCAAAGTTTTATTCTTCTCAGCTTGTAAGCAGACTGAAATTCTACTTTTATAATAATACACAGACACAATAATGGACTCAGGCTTGAAATTAAAATTATTTTTAGGACTGTGTCTATAAACCATTGGTGTGTGTTAACGGTTCAAGCTGCTCTTTTTGGAGACGGTCTCCAAAGATACAAACACTTTAATTAAGTTCCTCTTAGTACGAAAAGTGCTCTGTTCTTAATGAGTAGTGCTTCTTTCTCTAATAACCTGCCAAATTCTGTAATTGCTTTTGATTTCATCTTCCAGCAGTGGAAAAAATGTACTCTTATGGTAAATGACTATAGAACATCAATAATCCCATTAATTATTACTCTGGCTTCTTGGAGGGCAACCTGAGACTAGTCAAAATTTGTGCTATTGTGAGTCTTGGGATATTGCCTGGAGATGGTCCAGTTTAATGGATTCTGTGAGCTCAATAAACCTTTTCAATTCCAAGGTCCATAAAAACAATCTGCCTGCCTGGGTTTACATTTTCATTTGTTCATTTATTGTCTCATGAAACACTTATTGAACACAGTTTCTGTGTCGAAAGTTAGAGATAAAAGGCAAAGACACAGTCCCCAAGACTCAAAAAGCTTCTAGTCTACAGGACAACTATTCTAGATTGTGGCTTCATTGGGCCCCATGTATTTCAGCGTATGGCAGTGAAAGATATAGAACGTCTTGGATTCATGAGTTCTCTTGCTTTCTTAATTTATAATAACTATTGCTTATAAAATCCATATATTTTGTTTGGTGGAAGAATTTGGTAAAATGGCCTGAAACCATCCCTTTGAAGAGAATAATAATATTAGCCAAGCTTTATTGAGAGCCAGATACCATGTTGACTAGTTTCAGTGCATTATCTCATTCATCCCTCAGCAGCCCTGTACAGAATATCTTCTTATTCCAAGTTCACAGATGTGGAAAGTGGGGTTTGGAGAAGTTCAGTTATTTGCCTTAACTGACATGACTAGTTACTACGGCAAAAAGTGGGATCCAAGAGAGACTTGTCCATCCCAAAATGTATCCCAAGATGCATTAAGTCATGTTTTTATAATCTGATATTTACTGATCTGTAACCCGGCCTTTGAAATAGACTCTTTAGTTGAATGTTTAATTAGTAATAACTCACAATTTGTATTACTCCTCATGCAGAAAACAATGCTTCTGCTTCTAATCATGGCATTAAAATGGTCTCTTCTCCCCCCAAAAGCTCCAGTAAATCATGCTGAATATGCATTCATTAAATTTTTAAGATGTGATTCTTAGGGTATTTCTATAAAATGACAAGTCCTTTCCACACCATTGCACTCAGTCTTCTTTCTGAATCAGCATCAAATGGGCTGGAAACACTGAATCCGGCAGCAGAGCTGGAGCAGGTGAACTGCAGGCGGGACTCAGTGCCTGACTCTCGGCTGCCTTTCCGCTCCCGCCGGGGCCGCTGCAGGAAGAGCAAACCTAATAGGATCCTCAGATGAGCAGCTCAGAATTTAAATCAGTGCCCTGGAAACGACAGAGGCATTGTCAAGTCTAAAGAGTAGTATCGGGACACCTGGGTGGCCCCATTGTCTGAGCATCCAACTTCAGTTCAGGTCATGATCTTGTGGTTTGTGGGTTCGAGCCCCCCATTGGGCTCTGTGCTGACAACTCAGAGCCTCGAGCCTGCTTCGGATTCTGTGTCTCCCTCTCTTTATACCTTTTCCCTGCTTGCTCTCTCCCTCTTCCTCCCTCCCTCTCTCTCTCTCTCTCTCTCTCTAAAAAATAAATAAACAAACCAACAAAAGAGCAGTCGGCGCAAATAGGTTAAGAGATCATCATTAGGATTTCAGACTCTCATCTGGTCTATCATTGGGAATGGAATTCTGGAAAGAACTTACTTTATACTCAAACCAGTTACCCACCCCCAGTACATAGAAACAAACAAAAAACCCTGTAAAAATATCAACTTTTATTCATTAAATACTCAAATATATTATTTCTATTTTTGTTCCTTTTGAAAATTATGGAAGAACTGTAAATTAGATTCTAGGAAAAGAACTGCTCTGATTCATGAAAAACCTTTTAAGAAAAGAGATTTAGAGGATTCAGCAAGATGTTGAAAAAAGGTAGAGTCATACTCTCCAATGTGTGTGAGTGAGGTAGAAAGACAGGACCGAGCTGCCCAGGCAGAGGGTGGTCAGTTCATCCCTTCTTGACTGCGTTCATCTCTAATGTGATTTTGCTTGAGATTCATCTTTGTTTAATGCTAGCATGGCCCACTTTTCAATATTTACATAAATATTGAAAATATATGGGCACAATTTTAAAAGGCTGCACAAAGGGAGGTTTCTGTAAAGGCTTTGCAGACAGTGGGAGTGGTATAGCGGGTATTACTGGGCCCACAAAGTGTTCGGTCCTGGCACGCTGCTCAGGGTCACAGGTAAATATTCTCTCATTCTTCCGTATAACGTGGGGACGGGAGGCAGCCGACGCAGGGGCGGCAGACTAGATGCTGGTGCTGCCTCAGAATTCCAGGATTCGGTCCCAGTCTGGTCACAAACAGCAGCGGGATCTTGGGAGAGGTAGGTGACTCTGTCCCGGTCCTTGGGGCCAGTTGCCGCCTGAGCTCGCATGGACGACACTGACGAGGAGCTAACTTGCTGGAGCAGCCGGGGGTCCCTAAACTTGCATTTTGTGAAAAGATAATTAATACCGAGTATCAAAACATTTACCTGTGTAAACATATTCAAGAATGTGATAAGCTAGGTTTCCCCTCCCCTTAGCGATATTATATTTATTCATTCTTCATTAGCCTTAGAGATGAAATTTCGCCTGATGAGGAGAACCTCTCAGAGGGCTGTTTCTAGCATACTAGGTGAATCAAATAAAAATGTCAAGAAATTTCACAAAGATGGTAAATGTTGAAAAAAAATGAAAGATGTTATATCTTGTTTCCTTAATGGTTGTCATCATAGGCACAAATAAACTGAAAAGCAAGTTTTTTCCAACTGACTACAAAAGCAATGTAAATTCATACAACCTAATTAAATAATGGTGCCTCAGATATAATTCATGGAGTCCTGAAAAATGTTTTTTAGGAGAATGTGGTGCACAGAAAAATATGGACAGTGGATCTGGATTTATCACTTTCTGGATAACCATCCCTTAGTGATTAAATTTTGATTCAGTCACTATTGCTTTCTTAACATTATAAAAATAATAACTACTTACCAGGGGAAAAATTGGAAAATAGAGAAATATAGAAAAAAATTTAAAAACTTTAGTGACCCTTATTGCTATTAATATTTGCTGTCTTTCCATCTATCCATTCTGTCAAGCTAACAACCATCTCAAGTGGAGATTACAAGTGGACAGTAATGAAATTAAATATGGAAATGGCTACTACAAAAATTAGGTTGTCAGAGATAAAGAATGTTAATTTCAAGAATTCAAATTACCACCCACTGGAGTTTTTTAAATGAAATCAGGAGTAGAGAAAAATATGTTAATTACCATCTAGTCTACATGTCATTTTAGAACAAATGGTCGAGTTTATGGAATACTTCTACCTTCTAAGACTCATTGTCACTTGCTCGTAAAAATGATGGGAATATAATAAGCATCACCTCAAATACTGCTAGACTGAATATAAAGTGATCTCTAATTTTCAGTGGAAATATCCAGGCATAAAGAAATAGAGAGGAAGTTTTATAACATAAATAAACTTACAGTGATACAGATAAAAAGTCAAGTATTCCCTTGTATATTTAATATCCTAATTGAATTATACCTGCAAAGTTAAAAATGATATCAGTACAGCCTCAATTCAGAAATATTGCTGTTTGTCCCTCACATTTCATTACAAATTTTGTTTGGACTCTTCACATCTAACCCATGTACTTTAGAGCAAATTTCTGAGTCATTTCAGGGTCTGAGTTTCTGTTTGGGGATCTCATTACACTGATGTCACTGGATCATTTATCTGAAAATTACCCACTTACAAAATTTTAAAAAAATCGTTTTTTATTCACTCTATTATTCTCTATTTGTGCAACGTAAGCATAAAGTATGGTGCTTTTGGTGCCAAATAATATTTACCAAATCCATGTTACCAGCGCTACCTCTGAAACTAGAAATGTTTTTATTTCAGGTTGTTATCTTGTCCGAGTAGTATTGTTTGATCAAAGTTGAGTGGTAGGAGAACTTCTTTTAGTCTGGGACATTGCCCAAGGACATAAGGCAACCCCTGTCTCCTGAGGGATTCTGTTGGGAATGTAAGCCTCACCTTATGCTCTGGCATTTCAATGTGTTTAAATTGTATATGTTTTACATCTGTACAGCGGAGTGGGATTTGCAAACATATTCTCTCATTTTTCATGTCAATTTCGAGTTAGATTTTAAAAACTATCAGCCTCTGGGCGTCCGGGTGGCTCAGCAGGTTGGGCATCCAACTCTTGGTTTCAGCTCAGGTCACGACCTCATGGTTTGTGGGTTTGAGCCCTGCATTGGGCTCTGTGCTGACAGTGCAGAACCTGTTTGGGATTCTGTCTCCTTCTCTCTCTCTGCCCCTCCTCTGCTTACTCTCTATCCCTTCTCTCAGAATAAATAAAAATAAACTTAAAAAAGGGGTGCCTCGGTAGCTCAGTCGGTTAAGCATCTGACTTTGGCTCAGATCATGATCTCATAGTTCATGAGTTCGAGCCTCACCATCAGGCTCTGTCCTGACAGCTCAGAGCCTGGAGCCTGCTTAGGATTCTGCATCTCCCTCTCTCCCACTACCCTTCTCATGCCCTGTCTCTTTGTCTCTCAAAAATAAGTAAGTGTTAAAAAAATTTTTTAAAAAAACTATCAACCTCTGAATCTAAAAAAGAAACAAACCCTAATCCATAAAGTATTTCTCCTTTGTTTAAATTGCCTTATTTCCAAAACTTATTTAAGAAGACCTGAAATAAAATAGACAAATAGAGATAAACCATGAAATAAAAATAGAAGATCAAAGCACTAGGAAAAGCAGAGGAATAAGGCTGTGATTATTCGGCCAGAAGCACAGGGTAAAATTTATGTTTAAAAGTAGGAGAAAAGTGCGATGGAGTATGTACTTTATATTATCTCATAAAATGAAGCACACAAAATGTTCAAATTTGTTCTGTTTTTTTTCCCCCACCATAAAGTTAGAAACAGACTTTAATGCAGGAGTCCTTTAGGAGAATATGAAGTTAAACAGTGGGAATTACCTTCTGTGTCCATTTTATTAAGTGAAGAAATGGTCTTTAAACAAATGCATTTCATGCTACCACTGGACCATTACTGTGGGAACCATGACATTTGATAGTGACTTTGAGCAGACATGGTCAGGTACCACAATGTTTTTTCCATATCTAGCAGAAAAGAGAGAGAGAGAGAGAGAGAGAGAGAGACAGCGTGAGCAGGGGAGGGTCAGAGAGAGAGGGAGTCACAGACTGAAACAGGCTCCAGGCTCTGAGCTGGCTGTCAGCACAGAGCCCGACGCGGGGCTTGAACCCACGAACCGCGAGATCATGACCTGAGCGAAAGTCAGACGCTTAACCGACTAAGCCACCCAGGCGCCCCTGCTTCACATTTCTAAATATAGTTGTAACTTTAAATAAAATTAGAAATGTCATAAATTTGAAATTTAAATATAAAATAGCTGTAATTATTTAATAAAAGAAAAATTAAAAATAGGACAATTAAATCAACATCAATTTACAGGTTTGAAATTTCATCCTTGCAATTGAAAATGTAGTTGACATTTGGTATATTCATCTAGAATTCACATGGATGCATCTTAATAAAATATAAATCACTCAGGCAATTAACTCAAATGTATTTTGTGGTTATGCAAATGAATGTATATAAATGTATGGACAGGCTTATTTGTCTTGGAATCTAGTTTTATATATCATTTGATATACTTATACATATTTTTATACATACAAAATAATTTTGGCCATAAAAATCTCTGTTAATACATTTAAAAAAGAATGTTGAAGGAAAAACCATAAAAAAGATAATTACTCAAAATATAGGTACTAGCCATGATAATTAAGTACACTATTTATTACTAAGTTAACTATTCCATTGAGAAAATTGTGGAGGTTCAAGAATAAAACATCAAGAAGCTACCAAAGGAAAAGAGACAATAGTTAGAAACTGTATGTTACCATCTAGAAACCTTTCAAGTTCATCATTTGATTTTCAAGTTCTATACTATCACAAATCAGAAGTATTCCTATTTTTTAAAAAACCCTCAAATTTTCTAAGATGAAAATTAGATTCTTTAATATACTGACTAGAAGTTAAATTATGTAAATATCATCTACAACTGAAAAATTAATCTTATTTATCTAACATATTTTTTAAATTAAAAACAAAGTATATGGCTGGAGAAATGTATAGTATCTTACTGTTATAATCAATAAAGTACTATTTGCACTACAAGCAAGATGTATAAACTTAAAATGAGCACATTATACCTTAATTCTACTTGCAGCATGAATAAAAACTCATCCTTTGCTTACTGACTTAGTATAAAAATCAGAAGCTTTGCTACATAGGTAGAAATTAAAAAAAAAAAAAACTAAAAAAATAGAGTATTAACAGTACCTCCCCCATATTTTTTTACTCTACTTCTCAAATGAGAAATCCAATTCCTCTTCTTTTAAGAAATTGCCCACTGAATTATTAAACTAACTCCAAACTAGCCCAAAGAGAATATGAGTAAAGCACTTGCAATTGGAAATCAATTTTAAAAGGATTCTAACATTTATAATTCAATCATTAACAGTAAATGTGTGATCAAGTAACATACGAACACATGCCTGTGAAAGCTATGATGTTTTGTTATATATATTGCCATTATGCCTGCATGAAACTCTGGACCCATAACTGTTAACACTATACTAGTTGCATATAACTGTATTCAGGAGCCGACATCACCGATTATCGTGACGTTATAAAACAGTTCAACGGCTTTCTGGGGAGGATTCAACTTTGAGGGGAGACTCTGAGAGTCAAAATATGATGTCTTCTTAGTCATACTTGAACTTCAAATGAAATTCCAATAGAAAATGTGCTTTTAGTGAACGTTTCCCACAGGAAAACAAAATCCTGGTTAAGTGTGGTACTCCAGAAAGCTAATATAAAAGCATTTCTGCAAATAATCAGAGTTTTTTTTTTAATAGCAGTTTTAGATATAGTGCCACTTTGCTTCTTAATTCAAGGCACTGTAAATCATTTGGAGGTGCAGCTTTAAATATTGTCCTACTCAAAACTCTATGTGATTCAGACAGGATAGTGAGAGGTTCTATAAAATCAGAAATCAAGGAGAACTCCACTATGTCAGAAGTGCGCATGGGATCCGCATTTGAAGCTAAGAGTTCAACTTGATAGACTGTCATGTGTGGAAGTAGATTCCCAATCAAAAAGGGACTGTGTATATGGTTTAAAAAAATCTCACATGTTTATCCACAGTCTACCACTTACTTACAAGCTGTGGCTTTGGGCAAGTTACATGACTTCTTGTACCTGTTTTCCCATGGAAACTAAAAAAGTAAGCAACTTATAACCCACTGTGGATGAAAGACCACGGTAAGCATGGATTCTATGGCAAATTTCCTTCATTTCACTCTGTGCCAAGTGGTTCCAAACCACACAATGTTTGTGTTTCTCTAATAATGTTTTTAACGGTTATTCCATTTCCCCCATAGATAGAAACTTTGATGAAGACATTTCCCCTAAGCCCACAATTTTTCTTCCTTCAATGGCTGAAATGAAATTCCACAAGTCTGGAACATATCTTTGTCTTCTTGAGAATTTTTTCCCTGATGTTATCAAGATAGACTGGAAAGAAAAGAATGGCAACAGAATTCTGATATCCCAGCAGGGAAACACCATAAAGACTAAGGACACATACATGACATACACCTGGATGACCCGCACTAAAAGGTCAACAGCTAAAGAACACAAATGTATCGTCAAACATGAGAATAATAAAGGAAAGGTTGATCAAGAGATTCTTTTTCGTTCAATGAAAAAAGGTATGTGCATATAAATATAATATAGCCTTCCAGTATCCTACCTTTTCTGTAAAATGTTAATGAAAAGAAACAAATAGAAATCTTTCTTAAATGTTGTTACATAATAATAGCATAAATGTCCTGCTATTTCCCCATAAAACTAAAATACTCTGGGCTTCAGGACATACAAAACCCACCTCAGGTTCATCAGCCAAAAATTAAGGTTACAGTGATGTTTTTAGCGTCATTCTTTGGATTAAATGAAACCGTACACATAAAAGCATGTAGCAACCTCACACACAATAATCGCTCAAAAGAGAGTCCATTTCTGAGAGTCTTACTTGATCAGAAAATGGGAACAATTACACATCTTTCAAGAATGTTCTACCCAGCCAAGTCCCTCTCATTTCAATCTTGCTGTACTCAAAGTATAATTCATAAACAATGAATTGTATATGACAAAATGCTGTTCAGTTGAAGAGCCAGATCACAGATCAACAAAAAAGGATACTTTGGTTGCTGAGGTCTTAGTATGGTCCTGAGTTTTTTAGATTTGAATTTTTTTTAAAAATTTGTTTCTGAGAGAGAGAGAGCATGAGCAGGGGAGGGTCAGAGAGAGAGAGAGGGAGACACAGAATCTGAAACAGGCTCCAGGCTCTGAGCTGTCAGCACACAGCCCAATGCGGGGCTCGAACCCACTAACCGTGAGATCATGACCTGAGCCGAAGTTGGATGCCTAACCGACTGAGCCACCCAGGTGCCCCTAGATTTGAATTTTATGTACTGCCATAAGGTGAGATTTGGTAAGTTAGATTGGGTGAAGCTAATGTATACAAACATCCTTCCATTCTACCCAAGGGATGCATTTCTACCACTGGTAAACACTGCCCAGCAAACACTTGTTGCAGTACAAGTGAGTGCCAGGCTTGGAAGGGACGCAGGCAGAACCAGTGTCGCAAGGAGCATCACTACAGTAGAGCGAATATATTTTTCCTGATCACTCATGGCCACTTGTGATTCAGGCATGGTGTCGCATAGGATCACCATTGGTACAAATGCTGATCATCTTTAGACAGTGTGGGCATCTGGCTCTGATCCAAGAACCTCTAGACTCAGAAGTTAAGTCCTGAGCATTGACATGACAGACCAAGGCCCCAGAGGGCCCACTGGACAGAGCCAGTTTGTACTTTTCCCTGCGGTTAACAAGCCCTTCAGAAGCGGAGGGAACACGCACATAACTAGATGTGCAAAGACCTTTGCTGTGTACCACTTGGAAGGGCTGAAGTGAATCTTTATCTTCTTGGATCCTTTGTGTTTCCAATGATCAAATTAGGGTTGAACATTTATCTCTGCTTTCTCCTGGGCTGTGATGAAGAGGAAATGCAATCATGTCAGTGAAAATTCTTGCTTTTGAAAAAATAACATGAATGCATTCTTGTATTTATGTGCATTCTTTGCTAAAACTAACTGAAGTAAGAGTACAAACAGGCTAATTTAAAAAAAAATTTCTACAGCTAAGAAACAGAGAGGAAGCAAATGAGCAAAGCACAGGTTTAATGTAACCCTTGGGCTAATGCCCTTTAGGTGTTGATTTTTATAGTGTTCAAAGTGAAAATATAGTTAAGTTTCATGGTGATGACTACTGAAAAGGGAGAAATTCTTATTTATGATGTGTTTTCCTTGGCAATTAATTTCTGAAAGGAATGTCTCCCAAGGTCTTCTCAGAGGAACAAAGCTAATGAAGGCATTTCTGTTAATACCATTCTACAGCAGATTTCTATGCTCGTCTGCTTGTTGTTTCTGTTTTTGATGAAAACTAAAAATATAGAGGACACGGAAGCACAAATCCATGCTTTGAAGAGATAAAACCAATCTGCTCCAAGTTTTCAATCAACTTGCGTGGAGAAAGAGAACCTAGGGTACATACACAGGTTCTCATTTGAAAAATTGTTAACTTAATGCTTTTACCTCAATCAATGCATGGTGATAAGAGATTTTTATTTCTTTTTTAATGAGTAAAGGCACCGTATAAAATAGAAAGGGACTTTTAAGACATTTCAAATTAGTTCTTGAGGATATTTTAACATCTAAATATGATTATATAAACATTTTTAAAATATTGTAGAGAAATACAACCCTCACCTCAGGTTTTACATATTCAGAAAACTGTAATTAGTACTCAGTGTATCTTTCTGTCTCTGGAAAGAATGCACTGCACCGCTGAGCTTCTGTTATAAAGAGGTCATTTGCAAGAATGATTAAGATACCAGAAGACATGATGTCCGAGAGTCCACAATGGTGGAGTTATGCCCAATGTCTATGGATTGCTTTCCAAGGTACTTTCCACGTGCTCTCACGCATCAAACCCCCACAACTGCCGTTAAAGTGCTGGCTCAGCCAGTTACTGGTATGACTCTGGGCATGTTAGACTCTCTAAACCGTATTTCCTCGTGTCTAACATGGAGTCCACCAAATTCGGCTCACTTCACTGTGACTGAGGGGTCAAGTGAGATGATGCACATGAACCTTTCACATAGCATCTCCCACAGTAGTAGTCACTCGATAGGTATGGGCTTTCGTTAGCATTGCTGTCATGTCCACAAACGCCTCCCCTCCAGAAGAGCATGTGCAGCAGTTGGGGGTACTGGGGAGTGCATGATTTGGAAGGTAGGGCTGCTTTCCTTTGCTTCTATGGGAAAATTGTGTAAACCAAACTATGTTCTCCCAACATGTACGACTCTGCTGTGGGTGAATTATTTTGGTAGCCACCTCATGTCCACGGTGGCTGCTGAGAACTGTATAGCAGCCACTTTTTTTTTCCATTCAACAAGTATGTACAGAACACTTACTTTGAGGCAGGCCCTGTGCTAGGAGCTGTGATACAGAAGGAAAACAAGATAGTCTCAGACATTACCTGCTAGTTGTGAGAAAAAAAGAAAAAAATGCATGCATCACTCATGAACTAATGTCTTCATGCGCTGAGATGCAGTATGTGAATTAATCTACTGAACTATATAAAATCAGGTCAGCCATTTCTGGAATTGTGGGACTCGTATTTGTAATGGCTCTCTCTGGGTTGGCAGATGCTATCTTCTTCCTCCCTCCCTCCTTCCCTCTCTTCCTTCCCTCCTTTCTCTCTCTCCCCCCTTCTTTCTCTTCCTTATTTTCTCTTTCTTTCCCTTTCCCTTTCTTCCTTCCTTCCTCTCTTCCTTCCTCCCTCTATCCCTTCCTCTCCCTTTCTTTCTCTGTCTCCCTTCCTTTTATTCTTTCTGCCTCTCTCCCCTCCTTTCTTCCTTTTCTTTCATTTTTTCTTTCTTCTTTCCATCTCTGACACAGACATATATCAAATAATGAATATGAACAGTTGAATAATACTTGCTCTTATATCTTGTAGAGCTCGCTGCCATTAAGTCTATAGAAGCTTCTCTGAAAGATGAAAATGGTAAGTTTTTGTATGTTTGCCTTTATGATGTGTTCTAGCTTTTTCCTCCTGATCAACTTAACGGTTCAACTTCTCTGGCTTTAGGTAGAAATGTCACAAGGGCTGGATCTTGCAAAATAGACAATTTATGAAGTCAGTCCATCGTTTCCCAGGACTCATCCTCATACGATGAATGCTGGGTTGGGAATGAGAGGATGTTATAGCCTTAGGGGTAGAGTGCGGGCCTCTGAAGTCTTTCACCAATGGACTTCGTTCATTTCTGTGGCCTTTGGTTTTACTGACTGAGGATGACACAGTATCAAGTTGCTTCTACATTTTTTTAAGTCTGAACTCTTGCTCCTAATTAGTAACATGAACTGACACGAAGAGGTTCTTGTACAGAAGGTGTTGTTACTGTGGGTGCATTTTGTTTAATTCCCTTACCACTCACTACAAAGGATTTTATTCCCATTTTACACGAGGGCTATGCTCAAAAATTTAAATCTCTTGCACCACGCCACACAGTGAGATCTGAGGCTTCAACACAGACCATCGGAATCAAGAGTTCATATACTTGGGGTATCCGGGTGGCTCAGTTGGTTAAGTGTCCAAATTAGGCTCAGGTCACGATCTTATGGTTCGCGAGTTTGAGCCCCTCGTCAGGCTCGCTGTCAGTGTGGCGTCTATTTCAGATCCCCTGTCTCCCCCTCTCTCTCTGCCCCTTCCCTGCTCATGCTCTGTCTCTCAAAAAATAAAGTGGGGGGTGAGGGGAGAGGCGCCTGGGTGGCTCAGTCGGTTAAGCGCCCAACTTCAGCTCAGGTCATGATCTCACTGTTTGTGGGTTTGACTCCCGCATTGGGCTCTGTGCTGACAGCTCAGAGCCTGGAGCCTTTTTCAGATTCTGTGTCTCCGTCTCTGACTCTCGCCTGCTCACGCTGTGTGTGTCTCTGTCTCTGTCTCTCTCTCTCAGAAATAAATAAAAGCGTTAAAAAATTAAAAAAATAAAGTGGGGGGAAAAAGAGTTCATATACTTACTTCCTCTAAGATATCATGGTGCAAGAAACCCCAAAGCCAAGGCCCTGAGACAGGTGTGCACATGGGGAGGGGGTGTGAGTGCAGGGCTCCAAGTGCCACAGATTGGACTTTAACCTCAGCCTTTTAATTATTAATTGCACAAATGTGGGTACATTACTTACATTATCTGAGCCAACCAGGAGTAACATGAGTAACACCTCCCTCAGCTGTTGAGGACATCAGGTCACCTATGTGGAATGTCTAGCATTGGGTATCTCATTTAGCTGACACATTGTAAGTACTAGTTTCTGGTCCTTTCTCCCCATATATGAGCAAGAAGGTGACGCGAAATAGTGGCTCTAGCCCTGCTGATCTGCCCTCCATGTCCAAGATCAAGTCCTCGGCTAACATATTACCTGACCAAAGGCAAGGTGTTAGGAGCACCTCACCTCTCAAGGTCCCTTTCCATACCAAGTGCTAATAATTCTAGAGTTCTGACTTTCTGGAGATAAAGCATGTCCAAGAAATTTCCACAGGAAGAGGCTCTGCCTTGTGGTTCGCTGAGTAGTCTGTCTGTCCCAAGACATTGTCATTAATTATTTCTTGACATCGTATATTTCCTGAGAAACCTCAAAGGATATTAAAGGCAATCATTCTACAACAGTATAGCTCTAAAGAGGAATATTCAGGAAAGACAGGGGAGTTAGTGATGACCTCCTAACATTGGAGACAATTTGGATGAACTACGTCCTTCCACTTTATTTTATTATTTTTTTAGGTTTTTATTTAAATTCCAGTTAGTTGACTTATCATGTAATATTAGTTCCAGGTGTACAATATAGCAAATTATTCAACACTTCCATACACTTCCCTGTGCTCCTCACAACTAATTCCCTCCCTCCACTAAAACCTCCCACCTACGCTACTGTGAACACCACCAAATTTCCATGGAGTGTGGAAATTCCTGCCCTGGGATAGGAATCTCATTGATGCGCAACGTATAATACGAAGATGGTTCTAAGTCAGCAATTCATTATTATATTTGTGCTTAACTGTGTGTTGTTGGGGTATTTATAGAACACGGAGGTGCAGAATTACAGAGCAGGTAAGAATGTGTTCTTGAACATTATGTTGCTGGGATTAAGATTTGGCTTGCGGTATTTACAAGTTGTATGACACCAGGCAAACTCCTTCTCTGTCCTTAATTTATTTGTCAAATGGGAATGAAAAGAATAATCTCGCAGGTTACTGAAAACTTAAGGAAGATTAAAGCTATGCCCATAAAACTCTCAAAATTAAATGTTTGGCATTTAGTTAGTGGTTAATGCATATGAGCTATTACTGTTACTTACCGACATGGTGGGGGTGAAGAAATGGTAAAAGCTACTCATCACCAAAGCTTTTTTCAGGGTGACTCATTCTTCTAAGACATAACCTTACTTTTTAATACTTTGGAATACTTTAAGTGAATTTTGCAGAAGTTGTTGATTGACTTTGACCTGCAAGGTGGATTCTGGGTGGTCTCGGTGCTGGTGGTAGTGGTGATGGCGGTGTAGAGGTTTACTATCGGGTCATGTTGCTGCGAGAGAGTCACTTCAGCCCGGATCATCAGAAATGTATGATGTGACTCCCCCTCCCATTAAGAAGTCCCAGCCTTTCTAAAGAACAGGTGAAACTAATCAATGGCCTTTTGTAGACCCCCTGCAGCTGCAGCTCGTGAGCACCTCTGCCTACTACACCTACGTCCTCCTCCTGGCCAAGAGCGTGGTCTACTCCATCCTCATCGCCATCTGTCCGCTTGTGAGACCAGCACTCTGTGACAACTGGGCGTTCCTAATACATGGTGGCACACGTATCTAGTGGGGCTTTCTGCCTGGGTTTGGGTCATTTCAGTTCACAGGCGTCTTCTATTGTGTTGCTATTGCAGAACGGGTTTACAAACCACTGGGCAAATGGGAGTGGGTCACTCTGCACCAAGAACAAAGGCTGCAGTGAATCAGGGGCGGGGCTGGGGGGCATCCACGGGGGCTTTGTCGCAGCTCTTCTTATGTTCACCAGCTCCTCAGCCACCCGGCATCCTGGCCTCTGAGCACAGCCAGTGGGCAGCTTCCCTAGTGTCCCTGGGGCTCTTCATCCAGATGACTGCCTGGAGGCCTTCTGTTTTATACACCTGTAAGCCGCCATCCTTGCTACCTGAACTTTGTGTTTTTCATAATAGGCATAATAAAAATAATCCAAAGTCTACTTTTGTCCCTGTGTTCTTTCACTTGGTGAAATCTGGGAGTCTAAGGTAAGGAACAGCACGACAACTGAGCCTTTACATTTAGCATTGGTTGTAATTGTGGCCAATTCTACAATCTTAACTTTTCCCTGATAGAGTCCTTATGATGGCTTCCTTGGGGCACTGTCCCCAGGGGAGCCACAGCCAGTGATGGTGCCCAGGGTATTTCTCCTTCCAACGGCAGCTGAATTTGATTCAGTCGGTTTAAGACATTCCAGGGGCAAAGGTATAATGTTGCATGCGTGGTGGGTGTGTCAGACCTGGACCAGAGTGTCACGTGCACCATGCTTCCTCATGTCAGGAGAACCCCACGAGAGCTGCACGGACACGGGAAAGGGAGGGGGGGGTGGGGAGGGTAAGTGCGTGGACTCTGAATCCCAAGTGCCTGGGTTTAAATCTTGGGTCTATAGCTATCTGAACTCTCTGTGCCATAATTTTCCCACTTATAAAATGGACATACAGTGACACGTCTCCTGGGGTTGTGTGGATGCGATGAGTTTTTATGTGGAGTGCATGCAGTCCTCAACAGCATCAGCATCTACTCTTGGCAGTTCTACTTTAAAGTAACAGAGATCTCACACACACACACACACACACACACACACGAGGGCACGGAGATTTACACGCAATGCTGTGGCACCCTTCTCAACTGTCCCCAATTAACTCAAATGCCCAATAAGAAACCAGAAAAATAAGCTCAATGATGTCATATGATGGATTAGTAAGCATCTCCCCAAAAATGGAGATTGTCAAAGATATGGAAAATTAATCAGGAAGTGTTGTTGAAGAAGTACACATGGCAGGACCCTAATAAAACTGGTAGATTACACCTTCCCATGGTTTCAAATTCAAAACACTCCAAGAACTGAACGAAGAAATCATGTTGCAACCACTGTCTCTACCTCCCAAACACTTGCAGGTCACATTTGTCTTTCTTGGGCATCTTTCCAGTTTTTATGTATGCAAATGTGGACTTACATATAAACATAAATGCAAATAGGTCTAATTTTCTTCCAGCACACAGGTAGAGTAGTATACAACATACATTATTCTGCATTTCTCACTTAATATATCTTTCAGCTCTTTTTATGTCAGTATACAAGAACATTGAATAGTGTTTTACTGGTGAATGTATATTTTATAAGACCAGTTCCTTGTGATAGATCAATGGATTTCTTCCAGTCTTTTATTATAAAATGTGTTGAAATTATAATATTATTTTGTGTTTGGATATGTGTACCTGTCATTTTGAAGGTACTGCCTACTTACCCCAAAGATAGAGGTCGTGCTATTGTGCCCTTCAGCACCGCGTTCCCTTCCAGGACAATGCTGTCACACATCAGGACGTTGGTAATCAGGTGAAAAGCAGTATTCCACCATGGTTTTGGTTTTTCTGATGAGGATAGCTGTATTTTCATAGATTGAGCCCACTTATGTTTCTTTTTTTGTGCAAATTTGTCCAGTCCTTTGACCATCATTTCTGAGTAATAATACTATTAAGTATGATACTCATTTATATGTGTGTGAATAGTTCTACAAATGTGGGTGTAAACCACAATGGCCAATGCATGGTAGGTGGGTGAAGATTAGTGACTGTTTATTTTTTTCTCTTTTTCTAATGAATCCTTTTAAAGTAAAACAAAAAAATTTTAATGTTTACCTTTGGGAGAAAGAGAGTAGGGGAGAGGCAGAGAGAGAGGGAGACACAGAATCCGAAGGAGGCTCCAGGCTCCGAGCTGTCAGCACAGAGCCTGAGATGAGGCAAGAACTCAGGAACTGTGAGATCATGACCTGAGTGGAAGACACCCAACCAACTGAGCCACCCAGGTGCCCCTAAAGTAAAAGTTTTTATATATTAGAATAAAACAAGGTCTCATTTAAAATTGGGAAGGAATTTTTGTTTACAATCAGCTTCAGTTTCTATGAAACAGGTACTTTCGGAAACCAAGTAGACGTGGAAACAGCACAAGACCCACCAGATACAAAAAGGAGGAAATTTAATTTCCATCCACTCTTTCAGTTTCAGGAATTTCATCAGGCCTCCTTAGACCAAATACCCGGATCTCTTAGAGATCTGGAACTGTTTCTGCGTGTGGAAAGCACAAAGGCAAAGAAGGGAAACTAGCAAATGACCGGAAGCCGCGTGGGCTGAGGTCAGTGCTGGGCCCCCCTGGCCAGCGTCTCCTGGGACTTCCAGCTCCTCAGCCCCTTCCTTCCCCAACCCGACCTGGGCTGCCCTGGACGGGCAGGTGCAGAGAAGGGGAGGGCGGTGGTGCAGGGGACAGTGGTGGGGGCAGGAAGGCGCTAGTGCAGTGGGGGTGTTTTATTTTCTCAGGCTTTTCTTGTCTCTGTGCTCTGTCAAATGTGGTTGATTCGTGGAAAATGCTTGAAGTCAAACCGGCCCCTATTGGCCAGGGGAGTGCAAACCGTGGCTGGGTGCTGAGTGATACAATAAGGGCAGTTAAACCACAGCCCACCTTGCTCGTTTCCAAAAGGCCACAGCTAATAAAAGAAAACTCCATCTGCACACACATATGATTGCTGTCAAACATACTCTGAGGCTGTGGGTGAGGGGTTCTCCTATTTTATACCAAGTTCATTCCAAGTAGCCGCTTCATGAGTTGGGAATCGTATGATCAGGACTGTTGAGACGCTGCCCTTTCAGTCTAGTCCGATGACCCCATTCTGAAGAAAACAGCCCACAGACTTCCTGTAGTCCCAGGTAATCCTGACATCCACCAAGGACCTGCGCTTTTCCCTGGTGTGTGATTTCCTCCGGTGGTACTTTCGGTCTCATGTTGTCAGTGCAGGCAGGGTGATGTAAGACGAAGGCACGTGAAGCTATGAGCACGGGTAGAGTGCAGACAGGGCAACACAAGGGGCCTCTTTCCTCACAAGAACACAGACATACGGAGGCCCTGAGTTCCACTGTGTACTTGAATGTCATGTATTGAATCAGGTAAGGCCCTCTGCAGGGACAAATGACTGGAGAGTCAAGCTGAACAAGGCTCAAGAGAAGACGTGCACAGGGGGTAACTGCGGGGGGTCAAGCAGAAGAGCATTCGGTAATGTGAGCACAATGAGCAAGTGTCCCTGCCCCCACCCCACCCACACACAGTACAGGGAGGGTGCCCAGTCCCAGGACCCAATCCATCCAGTGCCTGGCAAAGTAGAACTCTACTTTTGAGATCAACATTTTATCCATCCAGTCAGCCTTCACTGCGCATTCTCAACATAGACTTTATTCCTCTCGGTCTGTGCTCCGAGAGGCAACTTCTTGGGTGAGCCCTGGCTTCCATGAACATGGGCCATGTGCTCATGGTTCAGCCCAGCAGAGGCGGGTGAGGGCTCTTTCTCTGGGCAAATATACACTGGCACCCAGCGTAGGCAGCATTTGTGGGCCTGGTGTGTATGCAGCTCCGCTCCTGCGACAGGGTGTTCTACCTGAGACCACACCACTGAGTTCTTGAGATCTGGCCTGACCGTGCAGACACTGATTGCCCTTTCTCCACCTAAGGAGCTCTTTCTGGCTAAGCCTCAGCCTCCCACAACCCTCCCCATGGCCCTCTGGTCCTCTGGTCTGCTCTCCGAGCAAGCAGAGACGGAGCAGATGTGACCTGCACAAAAGGTCAGTTCCCACCTGGACCGGCACCACTGTCACTATACACAGTTGAGTTTTTCTTGAAGGACACAATGAATAAGAGAACTAACAGACACACTGCCTTCCTAAAAGGCATTAAAGTGAACCTGCATATTTGAAAGAAAGAGTTTGCAATAGACTTTAGTTTATTTCAATTCAAATGAGTCACAGAAAGACAAGTGATGGCAATCGTTTCCTAGTGTTCATCTAAAAGAAGAGTCTCACGTTATTTCAGAACTGTACTTCGAAGGGAACGACACTATTTCATAATGAGGATAATGCAAAATGTCCGGTTACACTGTACTGTGTAGTCACGGCCCTCCTCGTCCCCTTCAGTAATTCTAGTACTTTTAAGATCAAATCCCTGATGCCAAATAAGGAAAGTAAAATGAACCGTTTTGATACGTTGGATTTTATTACTTTTTAAAACTGTACAAAGAGCGCGTAAGCATGAGTTAAAAAACACAAGGGAAATGTAGGATGTTAAAAAAAGAAATACAAAAGAAATCTGAGGCATGAGACAACAAAATTCCAACCTTTGAATCAAACAAAAAGATACTTTTGCTTCCTAAAAAAGTGTCATTCCAATATATTAAGAAGTCTTTTGATCAGGAATCTAGCACAAGACTCGGCTCCAACTACTCATGAACAGATGAGACTCAGTCTCACTGACCACAGCACGGATCATCACATTAATGTCACCAGCCACAGGCAGGCTCCTACATGTACGTGGGTCTGGTACAACGTCTATGAGGTATTACAATAAATAAGATCTTTATTAGCCATTCGCCGGAGGCAGCAGTGGGGGGACAGCGTTTCAACCCGCAACAGGAAGACCCCAGCTCTGGTCCTCTTCTTCCTCCAGTGACTTTCAGTGACGGAGTTTTTACACTTAGGAGGGAGAAGAACACGCACACATTTGAGACGTAGTGTTAATAGGTACAGCGCTGCACTTTGCCCCATGGTTTGATGAGAAAGTCTGTGTGAAGATGAGGGGTGACCAACGCATGAAGGCCTGGATGTGGTGGTGTAAGAACTGATTTAAAAAAAATTTTTTTTTTAATGTTTTATTTATTTCTGAGAGAGAAAGAGACAGAGAGACAGTGTGGGCAGGGGAGGGTCAGAGAGAGAGGGAGACACAGGATCTGAAGACAGGCTCCAGGCTCTGAGCTGTCAGCACAGAGCCCAATGCGGGGCTCGAACCCACAAACCGTGAGATCATGACCTGAGCCGCAGTCAGACGCTTAGCCGACTGAGCCACCCAGGCGCCCCAAGAATTGATTTTAAAGCTGTTTTGAATTTGGCTGTTCACATGCACCCATCTTTGCTGCCTCTCAGCCACTGAGGCAGAAAACGGGGCTGGAGTGCGGGGTTCGTGCAGGGTGTAGAAACAGGGCCTGCTGGCTGCCTCCAGGGCGCTTGCCAGGTTCGTCCCTGCCTGTCCCAGCTCCTCAGCAGCTCTGAGCCGGTCACCACATTCCTTCCATCATCACACCATCAGGCAGTCTTGCTGCCACTACCATTCACTTTGTGTTCACTTGCTGCTGTGCTGGGGTGGGAGTGTTTTCCTTTGATGACCTCAAGGGACCAACCAGCACGCTCCCCATTGAGGCCCATCAAGGTACTGCTCTGACCAGACCACACCTTTCATCTCAAAGCTCCATGGCACCTGGGACTCTAGACAGATGCAGGGCCAGGGCGGACCCTGGTACCAGACTGGGCGATCTGCCCCTTGTCGGCAGTGCCCTTCCCCCGGGACAGTCACTCACCATGCTAGTCCCACTTGCCCAGGTGGAGACAGGCTGATCGGTACCCACGTCACATAGGACTGAAACCCTCACCCGGCACACCAGGTAGCGTCTGTAACTGACTAACATCTGACAGGGAGACGGTCTGGCTAAGCAAATAATAACCAACTTGCTCTTACTCTGTGGAAACGTGGAGGGTAAGCAGGAGTGCGAGGGTGATCACGCCGCAGAGGGGTTTGTGGTGAGCGCAAATACCGAACTACGATGCTCTACACCAGAAACTCGCGCAGTTCTATGTGCCAGTTTTACCTCAGTTCAAACAAGAAGAAATGCCAACTCTGAGGTATTTTTCATACTTAACAAATTCATACGGATGCAAAAGAATGGTTAAGAAATTTCACATGAATAAAATGTAACTATAAATTCATATGAACGGGATAGAGCTGGCTCTGTATTTATACCCCTATTCTTCGAATTTCACCTCGAATCTACTCAAAATGATCCATATTTAACTAGTTTGTTGTTCCGCTTTCAGTTTCACTTACTGTAACAAAAGTAGTACTCATTCATAGTTCCAAAAGTGGTTTTTCAGTGTCCTGCTTTTCATCAGCTTCTTCCTCAGATCCTACAAGGTAGGGAAAGGGAAGGAGGAAAAGTATCAGATTCCATTAAGGAAATAAGCCATTTGTTTGAAATGATAATATATGGGCATCAAATCTGAAGTGGGAAGGGCCTCTGCTTATTTAATCCCCAATATTAAAGTTAAAAAACATTAAGTTAAAAAGCTGTAACTGGAAAATAAAAGTTTTACTTTATTTCTCCTAGGTAAACACTTACAACCGGATCTACCCCTCATTCTGACTGTTGAATGGATGTCCCTTATGCAGTCCTGGAAGTGCTCATATGGAGCAAGAATTATTATCTACTGCTAGCGGTCCTTCTCTTTGCTGACAGGATTACGTATTTTTCAAGTGTAGATGACACTGAGCTTTGGTATAAGTCATTTAATCTACTTACTTTTAATGTTTATTTTTCAGTAAGGGGGGCAGAGAGAGACGGCGTGAGCAGGGGAGGGGCAGAGAGAGAGGGAGACACAGAATCTGAAGCAGCTCCAGGCTCTGTGCTGACAGCTCAGCTCGACGTGGGGCTCGAACCCACGAACCATGAGATTATGACCTGAGCCGAAGTCGGACGCTCAACCGCCTGAGCCGTCCAGGCACCCCTGCTATTTTTAAAAACTGCCGTAGGCGGTGAGCGAGAGTGGCAAGGACTTCATACGCCAAGGGTGATGGCACTCTAGCACTGGGACAGCCGCGGTGGGTCCTGCCTTGTGAACCTTAGATTACTGGCACATCGGAGCCCGCCATTTCATTCTGGAATTCTTTCTTTAGAAAACATGCCTGACAAAATAATACTTTTTTCCATTAAGTAGATTTTACTTCTAAAAATCTGTGGGGTAAAAAATCTTGATGTTTGAGGGTAGGAGAAAAGTTAAATGACTATCTTATTTCCACAAAATACTTCGTGTCCACTTATGTTTATATAGTTCACAACAGCATGGGAAATGCATGTTTTATAAAGTAAAAGCAAATATGTAATGAAAAAAACCGCATCCCATAAAAGCGTATTTACAAAAATAAAAACTTACATACATATGTGATAATCAGTAAGACTAAGAAAATAACCAGTTAAGTTGAATTATTTCTGGATATTCCAAAATACATACAACAAAGTGACTTTCTAAATTTTAAGTTATAATTTTTAAAAAAGGTTTAAATAAGATCAGCAGTACGACCACGCTTCTGTGACATTACAAACATAAAACTATCAGGAGACAAACTGAGCTGTCAACACTGAGTGGTCACAGAGTTTGAAGGACAGGATTTTTGGTTGCTGTTTTTTTTTTTTTTAATGTTTATTTTTGAGAGAGACAGAGAGTGAACCAGGGACGGGCAGAGAGAAAGGGAGACACAGAATCCAAAGCAGGCTCCAGGGTCCGAGATGTCAGCACAGAGCCCAACGTGGGACTTGAACTCATGAACCAGATCATAACCTGAGCGACGTCAGACGCTTAACCGACTGAGCCCCCCAGGCGCCCCTCTCTGGCTGCTGTTCTATGCACGTTTTCATAAAGGGCCTGTGTTATCTCACAATCAGGGAAGGAACATGAAAAAAGGATCTGTGGGGAGAGCAAGGGAGCAGGTTAGGGACAGAGCCTCCTCACACACAAGGGACGTGGCCAGCCGCACAGCTGCTCCCCCTGTCACATAACACACCTCAAATAACACACGCTTTTTCTTCTGAGAATGTCTGCCCGCATTAGAGCCAAGAACAGATCTGGTCCAGGAGAATGGACACAGAGAATCTGAAGAAAAGATTGTGTCCCACATCTTAACCTTCTAACTGTCACACAGTCAGGTGAAGTCTGTGGTGACATAAATAGAGAAAGGCATAGTAGCTGGAATGCTTCACTTTCTAGCCTGTTAAACTGCTGTTAATTTGTAGACACACTGGGGCCAATTAATGCACTTTCACTCTGAAATGAGTCTAAGGAGAATGATCATGCCTTCTCTTCCCGTTTCTGGGCTTAGTTTCCACCTGTCAGGCTGATAGCATTTGGGCAACAAGGAGCTGACACGTCTTGGAATTATTTGGGAGTTCTAAATAAAGCCACATATCTAATGAAGACAATATAATATGTATGCTTCACATAATTCAAAAGTAAATTCTAACGAGGCCTTCTGGTTACGGTCAAGGGTTGTTAACAAATCGCCTCCTTGAAAAGCAACTATAAAATTTGACTAGATGAACAAAACTAACCATTTCAGCAGCAGGGAAATGTTCAAAGACACACAACATCTGAGAAATGTTTATGCTTGAAAAAGTGCAGAATTCAGGGAACGCTGGTGCTCGTGGCTGGAGCTGACCCCGTTCGTCCACACCTCCCGCCTCCCTAGGCATGAAGGTGCTTCCAAGATAGGACAGGCGGTGGGGAGTGATGCGACGGGGAACCCACGGACTCAGGGGTGTGCAGGCAGGAAGGTGGGGGCTGTGCCGGCCTGAGGGTGAGGTCAGGGCTGCAGCAAGCGTGTGCTGGACTGAAGCTGGGGGCGTGCTTAGCGGAGACCCGACAGAGCCCAAGCCAGCCCCACACTCCTGGTCAATCTGCCGCTTTGAACATACGCAGAAGAGATGTGAAAAAAATCAGCCAAGAGTCCAAGCAGAGGGAGACCTGATATTCCCTAAAATGTGAATGTGCTACTCAATACATACAAATAACCATTTGTCCATTTATCAGAGGATGAAGGTCTTTTTTTTCATTTCCAGTAAAATGAATGTATACTGTTAGTTTCCAGTGTCCAATATAGTGATTTATCGATTTGATACATTGCTCAGTGTTGATCCCAATAAATATACTCTCAATCCCTTTCACCTATTTCACCAATTCCCCCATCTACCTCCCCTCTGGTTAAAAGTCTGTTCTCTATATTTAAGAGTCTGTTTTTTATTTGTCTTTCTTTTCTTTGTTCTTTTTTTTTTCTTTCTTAAATTCCACAAATGAGTGAACTCATATGGTATTTGTCTTTCTCTGACCGGCGTACTTCACTTAGCAGAAGATGAAAGTCTCATCAAGGTGCTTGAGCACAGTCTCTATCCAATCACTAATCACTGGCTACCACTAGGAGACACAGAGGTGATTCTTAGGGAGCTAGGCTTAAAAATAAAAGCATAAAAAAAAAAAATGAGTAGAGTCATCAATAGCCACACACTACAAGGGACGTAATTTCAGATTTTGCCTAAGCATTTTTCTAAACAAAAAACAAAACCAAACAAACAAACAACAATAAAAGCAACCTTTGTGGGAAATTGGAATCTAGAGTTGCTACAATATATTTTCAACAAAATATTTTTCAATTAAAAAAAAAAACAAGATAGGAAAAGAATAAAAAAATCAAAAAGTGTGACTATTCTTAGGGGGAAAAAACCCATGACAATTCAATAGAAACTATCTCTGAATGTATCCAGGTATTTTATTTAGCAGACAAAGACTTCAAAGCAGGTATTATAAATATGTTCAAGGATGTACAGAAAACCATGTTTAAAGAATTAAAGGAAAGTATGACCACAATAAATGAACAAATAGATATTTTAAAGAATGAGACAAATTACAAAAAAAGAAAAGATACTTTCAAAAGTAAAATCTGAAATAGAAAAATATAATAATTTAAGTGAAATATTCTCCAGAGGGTTTAAGAGAATATTCAAGTTGGCAGAAGAAATAGTCTGTGAAACTGAAGATAGAGCTGTATGAGTTAGGTAATCTTAGGAACAGAGAAAAAGACTGAAGAAAAATTGAACTGAGCTCAGAGACCAATGAGATAGCATATACAGAATGAACTCCCAGACAGGCAGAAAGGAAAAATAGAACAGAAAAAAAATGTTTGAACAATGGCCAAAAGTCCCTCATGGCTAAAAACCCCAATTTTGTTGAGAAATAGCAATCTAGATAAATATCTAGATATTTAAGTAAAGAAATACTGATTATGACGTATTCAAACAAATTCACATGTAGACACATAATAGGCAACATGATCAAAGAGAAGAACACATGAAAATAAAAACATACCACATTAAACTTCATAAGAGGTTGCTAAAGCAATGCCTAGAAGAAAATTTATAGCTTTAAATCCCTCTATCAAAAAAGAAGAAAAATCTAAAATCAATCATGGAGAAGACGAGTAAGCTAAACTCTCCCAAACATAATAAAGGAAATAAAAACTGGAAGTGGAAAACAGAAAAACAGGTGAGAAATACCAATGAAAACAAGTCCATTTTTGAAACTAACAACTTTGACAAACATCAACCTAGAGTTACAAAGAAGAAATGAGAGAGGACACAAATTTCCAAAATCAAGAAAAAAAGAATATCACTACCAACTCTACAGAAATTAAAAATGATTATAAGGAAATATAATTTGTGTCAACAATGAGATAATTTAGAAGAAATGAATTCCTAGAAAGACACAAATTAACAAAATGGACTCGGGAAATAAAAAATCTGAATATATCTGTGTATAATGTAGAATTAGCAATTAGAAGTCTTGTGTCACAAAGATAATTAATTCTTAGCCCAGATGGTCTCTTTGAAGAATCTGTCAAACATTTAAAGGAGAAACAGTATTAATCATTCACAAGAATTCATTCAGAAAATACAGTGTTTGGGAAGACTTTCTAACGTATTCTATGAGGTCAGCATTATTGATATTAAAGCCAAAGATAGCAGTGGGGGGGGCACACCCCCAATGTAACTTGGACACTGAGACTGAGGAAGCCACACACAGAGAGGGTGTGAACGGGTTTACGGCTGACACACTTGGGGTCCTGGGGATGGCAGGGAGGGCCTTTCAAGCAAGGCCTTACGGGGTGTGATTTCAGAGCTCACAGAAGAATTCAGTTATGGAATTAAGCCAGTGTGGTCCTGGTGCACAGAGAGCTTACACGTCACTGGAAGAGAACTGAGAGCCAGAAATAAACCCATATTTATGGTCACCTGGATTTTGAGAAATGTGCTGAGGTAATTCAGTGCAAGACGGGACAGACTTTTCAACAAATGATTCAGCTACAACTGGGTATGTGAGGGCAGAAGGGTGACCTTCACTCCTTACCTCCTCCATGCATGAAGACTAATTCATGATGGACCATCAACTTAATGGAAGAGCTATAAATATAAAATCTTCTAGACGAAAACATAGGAGGACATTTTTGTGACACAGGTTTAAGGCAAGGAGTTCTTAGATGTGACCCCTCATGCATTCTCCATAAAAGAATAAATTCTGATAAACTGGACTTCATCCAAATTCCAAACATGTGCTTCAAAAGGCTCCAGGCAGAAACGAAAAGACTACAGCCTTGGAAAGAAATATCTGTGCATCATAGAAGAAACTTGTATCTGATAAAGGATTTTTATCTAGGATGTACAAAGAACTCTTACAACTCAGTAAGAAGACAAACAACATAACTTTAAAAAAAAAGTGGTGAAACAGACATTCTGTAAAGAAAATATACGAATAACTAATGAGCATATGAACAGGTTCTCAAGGTCACCAGTCCTTATGGGCAAATAAAACCACAAGGAGACAGCACTCTACGCCCACTTTGCCAAGTGTCCATGAGAACAAGGAGGAACAAGCCCTTACATGTTGCTGGAAGCTGGAAGATGAGGTGACAATTCTAGAGAAGGCTTTGGCAACTACCGGAAAAGTTAAACAGAAATTTGCTGAAACACCCAGAGAGTCCTGTCCTAGGAATCCGTCTCCGAAAAGTAAAAACGAACGGCCCCACAAAGGCGTGCACATGGAAGTTCATGGCAGGATTAGTCACAGTAGCAAAAATGTCAACAACCCCAATGTCCCTGCACCGCTGAATAAACAGAACACTGTAGATCCATAAAATGGAGGAATATGAGCAAATAAAGGGACTTACACCTGGTACAACAGGAATGGCCATCAAGAACATCATCCTAAGAAGCCACATGTAAAAAACTACATATTCCATGATCATATTAAAATGAATTGTGCCAAAAAAGACAAATTTTCAAGACAGAAAGGAGATCAGTGGTTTATCTAGGACTGAAAAAAGGAGCAGAGGCTAGAAACAAACATTTTCAGATAAAAGAAGGGCTCTAACATTATACTGTGAAGTTGGTTTGAAAAGTATAAATTTACTAAAAATCATGCAATTGCACATTTACAATGGATGAATTTTATGGTATGCAAATTATAACTTTGTTTTTAAATTTTTTTTTTCCTAGGAGAGAGAGAGAGAGACAGCGTGAGCAGGGGAGGGTCAGAGAGAGAGGGAGTGACAGACTCTGAAACAGGCCCCAGGCTCCGAGCTGGCAGTCAGCACAGAGCCCGACGCGGGGCTTGAACCCAAGAACTGCGAGATCATGACCTAAGTGAAAGTCGGACGCTTAACCAACTAAGCCACCCAGGCGCCCCTTCAACCTGCTTTTTTTTTTAAATAAAGGTTATGTAGTATCCTCAGCGGTGATGTTTCAATACACTTTACCATTTTTAATAAAAATTAGAAAAATGTGTTTCAAATCTATTGATTGTACATGGGGTGACTATACAATTGCTCATCTGAACAAGAACATTACCTATAGATCACAGCAGTTCTAATAATAATTACAGGGGATCCTAAGGGTAAGCCAAGACCACCCAGGGCAAGCCAGTGCTTCTGGCTGGATTGCTTTTAAAAAGTGTCAAATTTGAATTATAGTGTCTTTTTCCAGATTTGCTTCAATCATATAATGCAATTGAGCTATTCTTCAATTTAAGTCTTATGATGATTTACAAGGTGACGAACTACGTTTTCCCCTGCATCATGGCTGCTTCACTTCAGCTGTCTGACCACCATAACAACTTGAGCCCGATCAGCTGACAAGGTATGTACTCCCTGTTCCTCCCACTGAACACACAGGTGGACGGGACATGGTCAGACCCACAAGCAAACCTGCAAATAAGCCACCCTTATGTTCCTTAGAAGCACATCTAACAAATGGTGCTAATTTTCAGAATGTCTCTGACACTAAAATGTAAGTGACTCCTTAACAAGTAAAAATGCTAACATTTAACATTTTGGTGACTCAGACATCTTCCTTTCTCCCTCCTCATCCCTTCCTTCCACAGTTAGAAATCTACTATGTGCCGGCACCGCCCCGCCCTGGGGGCTGGAGAAGCAAAGTCAAGAGCAGGGGACCACAGCCCACATGCCCTCTTGTGCCCCAGGCGCCAGTCAGCGCTGTGTCAGCCCCAGGGCAGCCGAAGCACAGACCCCTGGCCCAGTGAGCAAGCCCTGCTTTAGAGGGGGGTCTTCTTTTCTGGGCACATTCATTCCAATAATAGGTTTAATTTTAATACCTTCCCAACTTGCATGTTCATACGATGAAAATATAATCCAATAGCTTAAGTCACATTGAGCCCTCCTTCTCTGCCTACTACTTACCTGCATTTTGTCTTGAACAAAGCAGCTACCTGAACACCCGGAGGTGTTCCAGATCAGCTCCAGTCCAATGAGCGGGTCATGCTCCCAGCCACCACTAGGTGGGGTAAGAGTCATAGGCAGGAAGCCAATGGAATCAAGAACTGGAAAGAATGTCTAAGGTGTAACTACGTCCACACTACCATCCTGCTGCTCTGAACTTCTAATTGGGTAAATATATTATCACCAAGAACTTTTACTAGTCTCAGAAGAATAAAAGCTATATAAAAGCATGAACAACAATGTGAACTCCCTTTATTAAAAAAAATGACTTGTATGACATAAAGAAAAAAAAAAAACCTCAATGAAATAACCCTCATAATGAGGTAAAGAAAGTTTAATCCTTATCCTGAGTATCTGATGCCTGAAAAAGAGACTTTCTGCTGTTTCACATCTGTACTTCATCTGACTCCATGCTTGGATCCGATATAGTCCAGGGAACATCAAGCTACTTGGAGTTCCCCTGATTTGCTGTCACCTGCTGAGCCTCGGATTGTTCACAGCCTCTTTCTGCCTGGAATCTGCTTTACTATCTTGTGAGTGTGTTTCTATAGTTACTGAGCTCAATGCTGGGAGTAAAATAACAGTCTCTGACTCAAGTTCCTTTCCTATGGTAGAAACAGGCCAGGTCAGTGCTGAAGGCAGCACAGAGGGCAGGTGGGGAGACCTCCTAGGAAGCGCAGAGAATGTTCTCCCAGGAGCCAGGGAGTGCACGTGCAGTGGGAGAGCCTTCTCTCCTGTGTGTGGAGAGCAGGGCTGCAGAGAGACAGTGTGACAAATAGAAAGGTCAAGATGCACAATGGCCTGATGGCTCCTGGGAGACGGTACCGGGAGGCTGGACGACGGGGTAAGTGAGGAGGTCAGAACGGTGCTTTCTGCCAGGCTCAGGGCCCGGGACTTCCTTAATCCCTTCTGCCACTGGGGGCTTCTGGGCAGGAGAGGGGTGATCGATGCTGCGTTTCCGTTAATGCTGAGAGGCTGCACGCGGATCAGCTGTGAGCGTGGACTCCAGCACTGAGCCGGGGTTCAAGTCCCAGCTCCTCCTCCTCCTCCTCCAGTGACCTCGCACAGATTACTTCCCTCCCTGTGCCTCAACCTGCCTCTCTGCGAACCAGGGATAATGAGACTCCCGCCTCCCAGTGTGGTTTGAGGGACACGTACAACGATGCAACTGTTGTGTTTAACACGGCGCCCTGGTGGGGCAGGGAGAGGGTGGCCGAGGCAGGGAGGCTGGGGGCTGCTGCAGACACCGGAGCAGGAAGTGATGACTGGAAGGTGGAGAAGACAGGACGCGGTACAGTGACTGAGACAAAGGAGGCAGCGACACGGAGGATGGAAATGACCGGTGAGGGACGGGACGGGAGCCCTGAGAGAGGGCCGAGTCCCAGGGAGGCTCCGGCTTCTGTCACGGGCGGCAGCACACAGACACCTGCTCCCTCAGACCCGGGGCTCCCGGAGGAAGGTCAGGTTTGGGGTGACACGTACCAAGAGCCTCAGCCCCTCCCCCTTGTCTGCCTGTCTTCTGAGATGCAGACCGCCGGTCACAGGGTCTGTGTCCCTGGGTTCCGTTTATTTTACACTCTGTGTCCCCTCACTGCTCCCACATCGAGACCACGTCTCAGTGATCTCCGTGTCCTAAACGTCTGCTGTGTGAGATGTCTGCTCAGGCTTCTGAGAGTAGAGCGGGGGGAGGAGAGAGAGGGAGGGCTGGGCTGTTGAAGGATGGATGAAAATGCAGATAATCACATTTTTTTTACCTGCTTCAGATTCCGGAGGAGAATAAAACTGACCATCAGAAAGACCTCCAGGTATGAGCGCCGCCCTCTCTGAAGCATCCTGAACTATCAGGAGTCCTAGAAGAGAAGAAATTCAGAGGCTGGGAGTGATGTCACAATGCTGGTAGCTTCCTGGCGAGGTCAGGCACAATAAAATGGTGTCATTGCTACACTGAAAAAAACAAAAATCAACGAGTCTTGCGAAAAGAAATCCTTTCAAAAACTAAGTCTTGTTTTTAAGCTATGAACCAGTGCTGCTCATGGCAGCTGGTTGAGAAAACTGCCTGCGACTCAGGGCTTTCTTTAATTCACTATCTATGGTATCCTTCCCTGGAGAGCACCTTCCTCGCTGCAGAAATCACAATCATAACCAAAGCACAAAGCAAAGCAACCTGACAGGTCATACAAATGGTCTACAGGATTCCCTTTGCTGGGGAAATATGAAATGTAAGGCACAGGAAGTGGAGAGCCTTTTACATGTGTAGAAAGTGCCAGTAAGATGGGGAAGAAAAATTTATTATTTAAAAAGGTCCCCACAGAAAAGGGAAATTTAAAAAGCACAGAAAAGGGGACGATCTGACGTGGAAACTCAGAACAGGCGCCCGTGAGCACAGGGACCATCGGCGGTGAGTCCTGTGCGGAGCTGAGTTAACACGAGAGAAGCTGGAGGCAGCCGTGGCCGAATCACAGGTGCAGGTGTGAGCTCACTCCCTGCTTGTGACTGTGAAGGTACCTGCTGCCTATGTTTCCACTGACGTGAATTCTGCTTTATTCGTGCCTTTGAACGTGGTGGGATCCGTACACATTCAAGCCTCAGTTACATTAGCAGTGGATATGCTTTCAACCAAGTTCAATTTCATGTTCAAGTACAAAAGTAACTTCCATTCCCTGCCCCTCAACAGGTTTTCATATAAGCACTGAGGGCACCCGGCAGAAGACTTATCTAGATCTGATGCACACGTTTAAAATGCACTCTTGAATACTAACTCTGTTCTTACAGAGTTCTACTCTGTAAATGAGATTACTCAAAATAAATCCATTTACAAGTTCCTTTATTCTCATTGTCCCTTGAGGTTATAATCATACTTGACTGTCTCTAGGACAGAAGACCTCATTTTTCCTATTTTGCAGGAAAACCCGAGCCAGATGCATGACAGAGCATAACACAGCATGTGCAGTCATGACCTGGGTCTCCGCACTGAGCTTCGCTCGTGTCGGCAGATGTGGCCCGTGGGCTCCCACCCGGGCCGTCCTGCCCAGAACTGCAGCCCAGAACTGGGTCACGCAGCTCAGCGCATCTCTGGGCCTCCCTGGTCGGTAGCCATGAGTCCACGCAGGAGCTGACGGCCCCGCAGGGCTGGGGGGACCCTGAGCTGGCTGCCCACCTGTCTGGCTGCTGTCTTCCCTCCCTCTTCCCTGTGGTCGTCACTCAGCCGCCACTCGGCCCTCCAGGCGCCCACCTGTGCTACTCGTGGCCCCTTCAAGGCCACCGCCTGCTGTAAGGTAGCGACGTGAGACTGCAGGGTTGTGGACTCTTAACACTTGCTGTCTCCGCTCGGCCTAACGCGTCTGCCACCTCTGTCCCTAAGGAACAGCTGTGTTCAGATGCACACAGTGCTTGGTGCCCTGGGGCCGTGGTCACTGGGGACGGGGAGCGCTGGCTGCTCCTGCCGTCGGCCGTCCTTCTCGCCACTGCTCACACCTTCTTCTGGGGAAGCCCGGCCTCACGGCCCCAGAGACGAGCCACGGGCTCGCCCCGTCGCGTCCTGGCCTCCGCCCTGCTCTGGGTCTCGGCTGGGCCCCCTGAGCCCTGAGCAGCGGAGACCCGAGACCCGCCGACCCCACCCTGTGGGGCTCCCTTCTGATCTGACTTCCTGGCTCTTCCTTCTAGCTCGGTCCCCGCCCGTCTCGGGAGCCTGACCGGGGAGACACTTACTGTTTTCCTCTTCTGCCTCTTGAGGTAACACTTTGAAATCCAGGAACCACGTCTCAATCCAGGCAAGGAGGAACGAAATGATGGGCAGCACGTAGCCGAAAGCCCCTTGAGAGAAAAGCTGGGGGAACAGATGTGACCAGGAGAGGGAAAGGCAGTTACCAGGGGCTCACACCGGAGAACGGGGCTTTGCCGGTGTAGACGGTACCTGTACACAAAACTGGGAGCCTGTACCTTTGAGAGGATCACCTTTGCGAGTAAAAAGGCACTGGTCACTGCTGTCGTCAACTGAAAGACACATAACCCGCACCATTCGAGTTAGACATTTTACGCTGGGAAGACCCCTCCTCGCAAAACAGACCCCGTCTGTGCCAGAAGCACCAAATGCCTTTATTGAAAACAAAGGGATTTATAAAAAGATCATTATTTGCATTTAAAGCAACAGGTCAATGAGGACAAAATTAATCCCTGAATCCCAAACATTCAAGCAGGTCATGTGGACACAGTCTTCCAGAGCCTGGCTGACTTGAAGTTCTTGTGCTCTTTCTGAGCTAGGCAATCCCAAGTCAGTCACTTAACCCACCAGGCCTCTGTCACATCTGCAGAATGGGATGACCAACACCTACTTGCAAGGACGGAATCGATATGTACAATATCTGACATTCAATAAAGTGTGCTTATTAGTATTTAATGGATCAATGATTTCTGTTATGAACTTTGTTTTTCATTTTAGATAGATGGAGAGGGAGAGAATGAGAGAGAGAGAGAATTTTAAGCAGGCTCTATGCTCAATGCAGAGCCCAACCCGGCCTCGATTCTACAACCCTGGGATCACGACCATAGCCAAAAACAAGAGTCAGATGCTCAACCGACTGAGCCACCCTGGTACCCCTGTTATGACCTTTTTAAAATACAGTCTTTCACAAAGGACAAACAACTGTTAATTCACAAATGCTAGAAGAATCTGGACTCCTGCCCCCTAACTGGTGCCCTTGACCAGAAACAGTATATCCCAGCCAGCCGGTCTCCAAGGACCAGGAATCTGCACTAATATCTGTTTTCTAAACCAGCTCAGATATGGAATCCCGGCGGTCAACCTGAGCCAAATATTCTCCCCTGATTCCCTGAGTGACCTGCTAGCATTGTAATGAGATCCCTGACTGCCCAGCTAACCCTGCGTGTGTAAGCTTGGCTGCTTCTAAGGCGCTATAAACTCCCTCTTGCCCAAATCACGAGGAAATCACACTCTACTGCTTGTGAGGCACTGAGCTCCCCAAACCATGGATTCTTCTTCTTTCAATAAAGGAAATCACATTTTATAAACTACATTGTTTTACTTTTGTCATTTGACACACNNNTAATGTTTTATTTATTTCTAGGAGAGAGAGAGACAGCTTGAGCAGGGGAGGGTCAGAGAGAGAGGGAGTCACAGACCGAAACAGGCTCCAGGCTCTGAGCTGGCAGTCAGCACAGAGCCCGACGCGGGGCTCAAACCCACAAACCGCGAGACCATGACCTAAGCGAAAGTCGGACGCTTAACCGACTAAGCCACCCAGGCGCCCCGTCACTGACTTTTCTGAAACAAGTTTGAGACAGATGCTCTGAAAAATACTGGTGCATATTAAGGAGACTCTAGAAAACTCAGAAGAGACCAACACCACAGCTATCCGGTCCCGGCAGAAACGTTTTCAGGAAAGGGAGGTCAAGCCCGGCGAATACTGTCAGCCTACATCTGAGAGACATTAGCTTGGGGCTCAGCGGACGGTCTGATGTCCGCCCTATGATTCTGTGGGTGCCCAGAAGAGACGGCCCAGGGAGAGGGGCTCCTGGCGGACTGTGTTAGGAAGGAAGCACAGCCCCATCCTCAGCTGGGCACGCTGTGTCGCCCACACACAGGCTGAGGTCTCGCTCCAGAAACACAACTGGAGGCCAGTCCGGAGCAGCTCTCACCTGTTTGGGGAGCTCATCCTTCCCCCCACCGGCCTGCCTTCTTAGAGCTCTCAAAAAGGTGAGTATTCGGGGATCTGTGGACATGGCAAAAATAACTTCAGGCAGAATGGCTTATAATTCTTCTTTTAACCAATAAGTATTTACCGAGGGTGAACAGCGTGTGCCAAACCTCTGTGCCAGAGGTAGAGAGACAGAGATGAGTAAAAAACATCACTGCCTTCAAGAAGGCTGAAGGCAACAGTAAAATGGAGCATGGGAACTTTTCCCTTTAAGATTAGAGGGAGGGTGGGGTGCCTGGGGGGCTCAGTCAGTTAAGCCTCTGACTCCAGTTCAGGTCATGATCTCACAGTTTGTGAGTTCGAGCCCGTGTCAGGCTCTGTGCTGACAGCTCGGATCCTGAGACTGCTTCAGATTCTGTGTCTCCCTCTCTCTCTGCCCCTCTCCTCCCCCCCCCACACACACACTCTCTCTTTCTCTGTTTCAAAAATATATAATTTTTTTTTTAAAGATTGGAAGGAGGGGATAAAACAGCAAGAAAAGCAATGATCAAAATAAGCAGTGAGCAAGTCACGCAAAATCACCAAGGAGTAAAGGGGGAAGTTTCCAAGCATCTTAGTGACAGAGGTATTGATCTCATCATTCGTTTGTAAAGTGAGGTAGAGGGTGAGCCAAGAATCACTGATGGGTCCCTGTGTTCCCCATCTGTTGCGGTATCCATGGAGACAAAGCTAGAAACTCAGCAACACCAGAAAAACCCTGGAGTGTTAAAGCTACAGACTGCGGAGGAAAGGGACTCAGGAAAAGCTGGTGGAATTCATCTGGGACGACAGGTGCACTTGACCGAGGCCCTCCCTGTTGTGAGCGGGCCTGGGCCGGCATCCCTGGAGGAGACGCACCACTCAGCACACATACTCACCGCTATGGCCCACCAGTGGCGGAGTCTGCATACGGCATATGCAAGGATTAACACTTTAAATCGAAAAACTGCCAAGAGCTATATTAAAAGAAAGAAAAAAAAAAAAAGACACGCTAAGTTTCAAAAAAATGGATACAAATATAATTGAGTTTTAGGAAGAACCCACCCAAGTGTCTCTGTTATTCCGGTTTAGCTGAAGGCTGCCACGGAGCGCCCCTGGTCCAAAGACCAGTAGTTGGGGATCTCTGCTTTGGAATGTATGCAATGTCGCCCAAATCAGGATTCAAATTCACTTCCCATCATCAGCAAAAGAATATACAATTAATGATCATTTTTCCTTTCTATTTGGGTGCATATCATTTCTGATATCCTGGAGAAAATGTTCTGACAGCTGACTTTTCCTCTCCAGGTACAAACACTCACTTTTGGGAGATACCAGGTTCTTAGTAAAGTCCACTGTAAATCTCTGGGTTACGGGAGTATTGGGAGGGTTCTGTCTACCCAAGTAGCTACCATCTGATAAATCTAGGGTGTTCTGGGACTTGTGTGAAACCCTTTATGTGTATTATGATGCCATGTAATCCCTTCCTCAGCAACCTCATGCATCAACTACTATCATCGATCCCATTATACGTATAAGGTGGATAGAAAAGTTGTGCAAGGTCACACAACTGCTTAGTGAGGAAGCCAGGACTCGAACCAGGTGGCCAGACTCTACTTTGCCACTACGTCACAGCTGTCTTAGTAATTCTCATCTAGTGAGGAATACATGGAGAATAAGATTATACCAGCTTTCCTTGGAAGAGATACCTGCTGTGGGCAGGAAGAAGTCAGGTGGCTCTTGATGGATCTGCCAAAACTTCCTCACTAATCAAAACTGCTGAAAGGCTGGAGGCTGACGACCTTTTTGCAGCCATTCACTAGAGGAGCACGCTTAAGATCCCTTCACGTGAGTGAAGTTCACGGGCTGTATTTGTTTTTAATTTTCTGCTTTTGTTAAAAATGTGTTTTCCAGGGAACCTGGGTGGCTCAGTCAATTAAGCATTCGACTCTTGATTTCAGCTAAGGTCATGATCTTGCAGTTTGTGACATCAAGCCCCATGTCAGGCTCTGTGCTGATAGCATGAAGCCTGCTTGGGATTCTCTCTCTCCCTCTCTGTGCCCTTCCCTTGCTCACACACACTCTCTCTCTCAAAATAAATAAACTTAAAAAAAGAAGTTTAAAAAATGTGTTTTCCAACAATCTGCAAACTTAGTTTAGCTTCTCTATTCATTCCAACTCTATTTCTGCATTCTGGATTTGGCAAAAATAGAAGTCTTGGGGCACCTGGGTGGCTCAGTCGGTTAAGCGTCTGACTCCAGCTCAGGTCATGATCTAGCGGTTCATGAGTTCGAGCCCTGCATCGGGCTCGGTGCTGACAGCTCAGAGCCTGAAGCCTGCTTCAGATTCTGTGTCTCTCTTTCTCCTTGCTCCTTCCCCACTCACACTCTGCCTCTCTCTCAAAAATAAGTAGAAATTAGAAAAAATGTTTTAAAAAAGTATGTCTTCCTCAGCCCTCTATCTCAAAGTCTCCCGGGTCCCGAGGTTTCCTGAAGGCTATGTCCACCTCCCAGGCCAGGTATGCCGATCCTTCCAGGCCGAGCTCATGGGCCCCTCCCATTTGCCCAGCCAGCACCATCAGCTCTCTGAGCTTACAGGGCAGACAACCTTGCTGGTCTGGCTGGTAGATTAACCTGGCTTCTTGGCTGAGGCTATCATAAGATAAATCCAGCAAGGGAAAGAAGAGAAAAGAAGAGAAATCAGTCTTGCTATTATATGTCAAGAGCTTTAGAAGGAAGAAATGTCAGGAGATGTGGGACATAATACCCTCTGCCCTCCGGGTTCAATGACCTAGACGCTGAACTAGGAAACTCAATTTCCTCATTTGAAAACTGAGGGGATTCAAGTATGTTAGTGGTTTTCCAAATATTCTGTAGCAGCCAAACACTTTTTCAACACAATCTGCTGGAATTCTAATGTACTGTGCAGATAAACACGGAACTACCTAGGTTGCCAGGGGCTGATGACAGGGGACCCTAACCTCTTCTTGTGGGGAGTTCCACCTCCTTCCCTTCACACACGTCTGCAGGTCCCTTCAGGAATAAAACCACCACAACACAAAAGCCTTTCTAGTATAGTCTGAAAACCACTAGAAACTAATTACTCAATTATTAAAATTCTTGACCAAAAATGATGATGATGATGATGATGATGATGATGAGTGACTGCAGGTGGTTCTCTAAGTTTCTTGGATGTGTCTATCATCGGGCTAAATGTTCTCCATATATTATCTCATTTACTTTTCAAAGTGATGATGATCTCATTTTACCAATGAAGAAACCGAAGTGTAGACCCAATATATCAAAGATAGATACAAATAGTGATAGTGCTGTGAATCAAACCCAGGTTTTTCTGACTTGAAGGGTCCTACTCTTAAACCAGTGTGCATGAAGCTTCTAGAGATAGTGATTAAAGCAGTTAAAATCAATCTGGAGGAACTCACTGTGAATATTAACTGCCTATGCTGCATCTAACACAATGTTAGAACCTGATTCGCTTACACTGTCAGCGGCAAAGAGATACCAGGGAGAGGTACGAAGCCCAGTGAAAGTCACAGAGTGCTTGAGAAAGACTGCAAGCATTTCTTTGAATGAAATGAAGGCCTCTTCTACAGAGAACGGCACCTGATTAATGCTGCCCAGGATTACCAATGTAGAACTTTCCTCAAAACCTATTACTCAAAAACTCCTCAAAACCAAAACACTATTTATATTAAAAGTACACTCAGAAATACTCAAGGCAGAAAGGGAATGGCATTCTCATCAAGTTATTGTTTAAACAGGCGGCTTTTCCTTTTGGTGATTAGGACACGTCCATGGCTTCTATGGAAAGAATAAAGGCTCTCCTCCAGGAAAAAGAGAATGGCTCCTTCTGCTGCCCTTCCTTACCATTTCCCTCCTTCCTAGGACCAGACACTTCCTTACAGTGAGAGAGAGACGGTGCTGACCAGACCAGTAACTGAGGGGAAAGGAAAGACACTGTTCAAGAGAGGAAAAAAGATGGCACAGAACGTGAGCTCTATTCAGAGGAAATTTACCTTTTGGTTACAGAGTCATCATACCCGAAATAAAATGGAAAACGGAAAGTACTTACAAATATATCAAAATAAGAGGAGTAGTAGTCATAGTGCACCACCTCCTTCTCTAAGGTGTTCTCAATGCCTCCATTCACCTGCGAAGGACGGTGAGAAGTCAAAATGAGGAGAGGTTTATGTGTGAAAATAATACGAGAAAATACACAAAGTTTTCTTTGGTACACACTCCTCCGGCTACCTGCTCAGAACCCTGAAATGTTACAATGAGAGGAACGAAACACTCGTAACTCTGCCAGAAAAGTCCTAAACAACATTTCCCACTTCAACTCTGAATTAATTCGTTCAGCAAATATAAACGTACAATGAAAACCAATGCCTTGAGTTCCTACTTTGGCAAACTAAAACGTTAAGAAAGGATTCTTCTTCTCTTCCAAGACAGCCTTTCAACATACCAATGCACAGTCTCAAAGAGGACGGGTCACATTCCTCCAAGACTGCCCCCACTTTCTGACCAGTCTCCGCTGTTTCCAGTCTTAGAGGAGGGCAACGCGGTCCCTGATCTTAGCAAAGATCGACGACAGCAGTTACCGTGACACAAGACGCAAGTGCAGATATGCTCTCCGGCTTTCCTTTTTTATTTGCTCCCGGCATTTGAAAATGCTGCACCCTTATCAGTGTTCATATGTACTTTTCAGGTGATAGATAATGAAATAAGGGGCAGACCAGACCTACAATCAAATGCAATGAAGTTACAGTAAATGATGAAAGTCAGACCTACGCTGATAAACTTTCTGTCTTCTCGAGTCTACTATCAAGATGAATTTTAAATAATCAAGTTCAAAATTCTACATGTTATACTATAGAAAATATTGTTCCAAAAATTCAAGTCACGGAACACGTGTCTGGGAGCTAAGGCAGCACCCAAGCAGACCCCAGAATTGTCAGGGCCCATGGATCAGGGGCCATGACGTGCAATGGTAACTTCACATTTCCGATCTGGATACAGACATTGTTTGTCCTGCTAAACTGATGGAGATGATCTGAAAAGGGACAACGTGAAAGAAGATGAGCCAAATACTTGGGTAAATGGGGGGATAATTAATAAGGAACCCTGCAAGGTCTCCTAATCGGTCAAACTGGAATTAAAGTTGCCACACGGGAAGGCTCCTCTCGGCTTAGCCACTTTTCTAAGTATTTGTACCGATTCAAATCAAAGTTTACCATAAACACTATCTGGTGCTTTAAAAGCCTTGGAGGGGGTTTGGATTTCTGTGCAGTTTATGCAGATGGGCTGTAGACATGCTCCTTATAAACAAATAGAACAGAAGACTTGGGAGCAAAGGGAAATAATTATTAAAAGGCAATCAACCATGTAGTCTTATCAACTGCGTCTGTCCAGACTAAGGAGGCTTTCCAAGATCTCAAACGGTAAAAGAATGATTATTCTAAGTGACCTACTGGGCAGAGACCTCCTCCTAAGAGAATGGGAATCAACATGCTGATATAGTTCTTCAATAAACAGTTGGTGGAAAAGGGGTTTCTATGGTATCTGCACCCTTTAAAAGACCTTGGTTCTGTATTGCCTTTATACAGAGACATCAAAAATCTACATCTATAGCTCCAACTCTAAATTCTTATTTCAAAACCTCTGGCTCTAGCTCAAGAGGTCCCCCTTGGACTTGTCTTTAGTTTCACAGGGAATCTCTTCCCACAGTCCTGACAGAGCTGGTCCTGTTCTTTTCTGTTTCGTCATTAGAAATCCTAAGAGTCCTTTCTGGATACTGGAGCTGATAAAATGGGATTATCAATAAGTCTATCTGCATGCTTATTTTAAAAAAATTTTTAAGTTTATTTACCTAACTTTTGAGAGAGAGTGAAAGCAGGGGAGGGGGCAGAAAGAGAGGGAGAGAGACTCTTAAGTGGGCTCTGTGCTAGAGCCTGATGTGGGGCTCAAACTCATAAACTCTGAGATCATGACCTGGGCCAAAATCAAGAGCAGGACTCTTAGCCAACTGAGCCACCCAGGCGCTCCCAGCATACTTATTTTTTTAGTATGGCTCTAAGAGTAACTTCTTCCTTTCAATTCCCATCACCTTCCATGGGATTCCTTTCATAGCTTGGCAGCCAATCTGTCCCTAATGTAATCCTACTGGCAAACCAGGGCCTCCGAGATCTTTATCCATTCACCGAATATTTGCTGAACCCTTGCGAAGTGTCAAGTATGGTTCTAAATACTTCGGTAAACAAAGCAGTATCTCTATCTCTATGGAACTTACGTGTTAGCAAGGAGCGAGACGTGACAAACAAGAAAATACGTGCTATACAGGGAACAGAAGTGGGGCAGTGAGACGGAGTGACGGCTGACTTCTTTGGGTAGGATGCTACGTGAAGCCTTCCCTGGGGTGAGATTTAGACTGACAGACGCCAGCTTGACAAGATATCAGAATCTGCATCAGGATAGAGGAAATGAACCATTTGCATTTGGAAGGAACAACTAGTGTAAAGGTCCAAGTCAGAAGGGAGTTTGTTCCGTCCTGAGACCAGGAGGCAAGCCTGTGCTTGTCCAGGTGGGCCAGGAACAGACAGTGGGAAAGGAAAGTTGGAGAGGCTCCCTGGGGGCTATGCACGCCTAGCCACGGCATGTGGATTTTATTCAACGTGCTCTGGTAAGGCAGTGAGTGTTGTAACTAGGAAGTAACATTGTCTGATTTGTCCTTTTACTGTTAAGTCTCTCTGGCTTCTTTTTCTTTTTTAATTTTTTGTTTACTTATTATTTTTGAGAGAGAGACTGAGCATGAGTGGGAGAGGGGCAGAGAAAGGGAGACACAGAATCCGAAGCAGGCTCCAGGCTGAGAGCTGTCAGCCCAGAGCCCGACGCGGGGCTCGAACCCACAAATTGCAAGATCATGACCTGAGCCAAAGCTGGACACACAACTGACTGAGCCGCCCAGGTGCCCCACATCTCTCTGGCTTCGAGGAGGAAAATGGATATTCGCAGGGCAAGAATGGAAGCAGGCTCATCAGTTGGCCTTCTGGCACAGGAGTCTGGGGGAGTGAGAACGCTGGCCGGCTCAGGGGCGGCAACCGTAGAAAGGGAGAAGACGTCGGGGTTTGGATCTACTTTGCAGGCACACTGGACGGGGGCTTACTTTTCGACTGCATGTGGAGTCTGAGAGACACAAAACAAACAAGCAAATTAATTACGGATGAGTCTTCAGTTTTGGCCTGAGCATCTTGCTTCCTTGGAAAAAGGAGACAAACTGGCTAAATTGGAAGTCATATAGAAAAGCAAGGCGCCTGGGTTACTGTTAGGAATGCATAGTACAGCCAGGTCCCCTTACTCTTCTGAAGGCCTAAACACCCTCTGTGCTATTTCTTTCCTCTTTTAAAGACCCAGGCTACGGGGCAGTGTAAGGTATGTGTTGCATCTGTTCAGCTAAACTTCAAATCTTCTACAATGTTTCTGTGGAGCTCGCCACACCTGAATCTGAAGCCGATGCTCTGGCACTCAGAGTATGTGTAGACAGGTAAAAAGGACAATGGACTTGAGTGATTAGAGGGATTACAGAGACACACCACAAAAGAAAAGGCACGGTACAGTGTGTGGTGAAAAACCCAGGGCCGGACTGACGATCTAAATCATACAGAACTAGAAAATGAATGTTAAAAAAATAAACCAAAATATCAAAACTTGCTAAAAAAAAAAAAAAAGTCAAGATGTGCTATCTTCAAGATCATACACTCCTGGGGCACCTGGGTGGCTCAGCTGGTTAAGTGTCTGAATTCGGCTCAGGTCATGATCTCACGGTTCATGAGTTTGAGCCCCACATCAGGCTCTGTACTGACAGCTCGAAACATGGAGCCTGCTTCAGATTCTGTATCTCCCTCTCTCTCTGCTCCTCCCCGGCTTGCGCTCTGTCTCTCTCTCAAAACTATACATTAAAAAAAAAGATCACATACTCTTGTATATGATCTTTTAATTTTATAACTGGGGCAACTGGCAGTTAGTGGAAAAGTAAGTCTTAAAACACATTTCTTAATGGGAAATATGCGTCTCTATGTTTACTGCAGCACTGTACAGAAGCCGAGATATGGAAGCAGCCTAAGTGTCTATCCACAGATGAATAATAAAGAAGATGTGGTTGGTATATATATGTGTATACCTATATATATGTCATACATAATATAAATACATATATGTGCACACACACAATGGAACAGTACTCAGCTATAAAAAATAATGCGATCCTGCCATTTGCAACAACATGGTTAGGTACAGAGAGAATAATGCTAAGTGAAATAAGTCAGAAAGAGAAAGACAAATACAGTATGATTTCACTCACATGTGGAATTTAAGAAACAAAAAAATAAACTTCTAGTAACAAAACAGATAAATCATGGAGATGAAAAGTACAGTCCTGGGAAACAAAATCAGTAAGATTGCAATAGTGCTGTCTGGTGACAGATGGTGACTCCACTCGCTGTGTGAGTGCTGAGTCCTGTACAGAGATGCTGAAATGTTTCACCCCTGAGACTAATGTAACACTGCATATGTTAATTACACTTTAATAAAAAAAATAAATAAACAAAACTACATCTCCTAATTGCTAGGCCTGTGATTTTTTCATTTATGACACGTTGCACACAGATGTCAACCGACCCCTCCTGAGACACAAAAGAGAGTGCAGCCCACTTCACTCAGTCAAAGCAAGAAGACAGGAGGCAGGTGAGTGTGATCCCATGAATCCCCCAGCACAGCTCTAGCCCCAGGCTGCCCTCACTTAAAAGCAGGTAGTGATTTTAGTGGTAAGTCACTGTCATGACGATCAATTTTAAGTGAGCTCCCTAAAACTGCTGCTATGCTTTCCTGTTGAAAGAGGTATTTCTGGGGCACCTAGGGGTTCAGTCTGTTTAGTGTCCGACTCTTGATTTTGGCTCAAGTCATGACCCAGGGCTGTGGAACAGAGTCCCACGCTGGGCTCTACACTGAGTGTGGAACCTGATTGGGATTCTCTCTCTCCTCTACCTCCTCCTCTGCTCCTCTCTCAAATAAAAAAAAGTAAGGAGTCCCCAGGTGGCTCAAGAGTGGGCTAAGTGTCTGACTCTTGGTTTTGGCTCGGGTCATGATCTCACGGTTTTGTGGGGTTTGAGCCCCACGCTGGGCTCTACGCTGGTAGTGTGGATCCTGCTTGGGACTCTCGCTCTACCTGTCTCTCTCTGCCCCTCCCCTGCTCTTTCTCTCTCTCTCAAAAATAAACTCTAAAAAATTTTTAAAAATAAAAAGATGGATTTCTTTTTTATTTCTTAATACACAGTTACTAGTTTTAAAAACATATTACTCCTTTGAGATACGTATTAATTTAAATGTTTTCTTTAATGTACACATGTGGAACAAATAATAAAAAGAGATACTCTAAATTACTGCATCGTATCACTGGCTTGTTGGGTTTTAAACAATTCTTGCCTGTGAGGAAAGCATTTGGAAGAGTTTACCTACTTGTTTGCTGGTAAAGAATGTAAACAGAGCCAAGACTTTGGGATAAAATTGGGTTAAATAAAATATATTATTAAAATGTATTTCACCTGTTTATTTTCACCTCTATTAATGTAGCAACTAGAGACCTCAATTGTCTGCTAGGCTTGCATTATACTTCCATTGGACAGTACTAGCCTAGAGAATTATTTGGCAATATAACTACGTAGACCTGACAAGATGAAGTCAAACCTCCAAATGGTTCTCAAACATTTTTTCAATAAAAGGTGAATAATCTCTTTGTGAAAAAGTAAAGAAGAAATGCAAGAAAACTCTTAAACACGGGGATTAGAAAAGTAGATGTAACATCTAAAACATATTCCAGAGGCATGCTACATTTTTTGGAGCAAGGAGCAGCAATCTTTTCCTGAGAAGGGCCAGGAAACAGATACTTTTGCCTTTGTGGGCCAGATGGACTCTGTCATTACCACTCAACTCAACTACTCAGCATGAAAGCCAGCCACAGACAATAGGTGTAACCAAAGGGGCAGGGCTGTGTTCCAATAAAACTTTATAAAAACAGGCCAGCTGACTTTGGCCCCCAGGCTGTAGTTTGCTAACTGCTAAGAGAGAACAAAACACCATGAATTCAAATTTCAAAGTGAGTTTTAAATGAACTCCCTTTGTTTTAAAAAATAACAGTACAGGGGTGCCTGGGTGGCTCAGGTGGCTAAGCATCTGACTTCAGCTCAGGTCATGAACTCCCTATTCATGAGTTCAAGCCCCACGTCGGGCTCTGTGCTGACAGCTCAGAGCCTGGAGCCTGCTTTGGATTCTGTGTCTCTCTCTCTCTCTCTGCCGCTTCCCTGCTTGTGCTCTGTCCTCTCTCAAAAATAAATAAAACATTAAAAAAAAAATCCTTTAAAAAATAAACAACAAAAAATAAAATAGATTAAAAATAACAGTACAGAACAAGAAAGGTCAAAGTTAGCTGGAAAAGAGCAATGTTTTCTCCTTTGGAAAAACATGGGAATTCACTGGATGACACAGAAATGATGAGAAAAATAAGAAAATGTTTCTTGCCTCTGGAAACAATTCTTATATAAAGTCATGGGGGAAAAAACCCACTTACATTTAACTCTATTATCCACAGTAATGTTACAAATAAGAGGTCAAAGGTGACAAACAAACAGAAAGTCCTCCGGACATCGGAAATGCCTTTCTTCTCCCTCCCTTCACAGGGCTCGATCCTGGCCATGAGGTGTGCGGGGCTGATGGAGTGAAGGTCGCGCAGAGACGCGTGGGAGCTCTGGCTCGCTGTCAGGGCGCTCTCCATGTCTTCCTGAGGGGGGTTCATCCCGGAGGCGGGTTAACGGAGCCCTCCTGCAACTTCACCATCCCTAGAGAGAAGGCAGCTCTGCGTGAAATCAGGGCTCTCCTAAGCCACCCCGCCGCCCCCCCCCCCCCCGTAATGGTTCCTCCAGCGTGGTGACACAGTGTCGTAACTGAAGACATCTGTGTTCGGACGAAGACATAAAAAGCGAAAGGAGAGGCGCCCCCTGACGCCAGCAACGTTACGGGGAGCTGCCGCAGAAACGACCGGCCGCAGAGAAGAGCGCAAGCGCGCGGGGTTAGAGCGCCGACGGCGCGAAGCACAGGAGGAAGGGGCCGCGCAGAGCCCCGGGCAGGAGAGGACGCCTCCCCAGCTGTGCGTCATCACTCACGGCGCAGGACCCCAGCTCCTGAAGGCGCCTCAGAGAGCACGTGACTAGAATGTGGCAACTAGACAGAGAAGAAGTTGTTTCCTAAAGAGGAACTGCTTTCCACCAAAAGGATCTAATCAACTGACTTGGGAGTTTCCCCGTCACGTTCTAATGCATAAGCTTGTTTCAGGCCTCTTCTTGGAAAGGCACCCACACCCCCAAAGTTCATCAGCATCACGCACACGCCTCTGCCGAGTGCCCAAGTCACAGCTCTATCTGGAGATCTAGGACCCCCTCTTCCCGAGGCCAGGATGTGCTTCCAGAATAAAAGTGGAAGATTACTAACCTAAATGATCTGACCTCTTCACTGACAAGACAAAGTCATGAAACAGTTTGGTGGACGGTGCTGCTAGTTCCCGTCTATAGCACGTCTCCCCACAGGGGGGCGCTAGACCCCTGGCTCTACTGACCTCGCCAGCTTAACCCACTTCTGTTCAGACGTAAGAACCATGCACTGGTTCCTTCTCCTGCCACAGTGACTGGCAATGTCCAGTTAAAGAAGAGCAGTTTCAAGGCGGGTAAAAGAGAATCTGAAAATAGACCGCGGACATTACCCTAAAGCGTCGTGGTCCAGCTTGGTCCTATTCGCAGTCCAGAATGGTCTCGTTGCACGTGGCCCTCATTTCTCTCCCTTCCCATATTCCACATCTTCATACGATAAAACGACGTAACATTTTTGAAAGCACAGATGCTTTAAGATATTCATACCTCCTGGTCTGGTAACCCTGGGCCAAGACAAAAACTGATCTATGTCGCTAGAGGTTGGGTTAGTGATGCTAGTGATTACCTTTGAGCAAGAGGGAGGGAATAGAGACTAGAGCTCACAAGTTGGGTCAAATTCCATTTCTTGGCCTCAGCAGAGCTACCACGGCTGTGCTCACTTGGTAATAATTCACTGATGTAGATAGTAGTTGTGGTGGGGTACTGACTTGCGAATATTCAAAATGCTGTATGCTTATGGACACATGCACGTATATCGATGGTGTGTGTGTCTGTTAGGCAGATTTATCGTTATACATCCATAATAGTCTCAACGAGAAAACAATCTAAATATCTAGCAAACAGGGAGTAATGAGATAAATCATAATATAACCACAGTATAGTCACCCAATAAAGTACTCAAAACTTAGAAAAATGCTTATGTTATAATAGTAACTAGACTAAAAGTTAATTAAATGGAACACATGCATAAAATCAAATTTTTAAAAGAATGTGCCTATGAAACATTCAACTGTTGATACTGATTTTCACTGCCCGATATTATATTTTCCCCCTTTGTGCCTTTTCCTTATGGTCAGATTTCCTATTTTGCACATACTGTATTTACAACACAAGGGACTACATTCAAACGTAATTTTGTTATAGTCCTGGCCAGATGTCCAGGGATTTTATGAGGCCCTTCCCTCTCTTTACATCTGGGTGACAGGAGATAACAGCATATGGAACATTCTGAAAAGCTCAACAGGAGTCCACTTCAGTGCCTTGTAAAGAAAATATCAAATCCCCAAAATTGAAAGTATTTCTACACAATTTCTTTCTCATGGAGATCGACCCCATCCTAAGGGAAGGAGTTCAATGGCATATTCCCCTCCCCAGTTGCTCTTAAAACAAAGCTTGCAAAACACTAACTTTATTCTGCCAGACTTCTAACTGTCAATTCTGGAACAGTAAATAAAAGGAACGTAACTAATGTTTTCTGTGATGAAACACACACAAAACTCAAAAAGATACCAGAGATGCTCTCTAAATCTGAGCCTGGGTAAATACCGACATATTTCAGTGGCAACACATTCTACAGTAAGAAGCAGCAACCCAAGTAGCTTTTAAACTGATCTAATATTATTCTATTAGCAAGTATATTTAAATTTTTAAAAATTTCTTATGCTTTTTTTTTTTTTGAGAGAGCGAGAGAGAGCAAGAGTGCACATGGATAGATGCACAGGAAAGGGGCAGAAGGAGAGAGAGAGAATCTTAAGCAAGCTCCACACTCGGCATAGAACCCCACACGGGGCTCTATCCCACAACCTTGGGATCATGACCTGAGATGAAATTAAGAGTCAGACGCTCAACCGACTGAGCCACCCAGATGCCCCTAAAAATTAATTTAAACTCTTAAATCTACTAAACCGTATGGATGATCCAACAAATTCACAATTCAAACTCAGGGCTGTTTTTAGGAAGAAAATCGCTCTCCTCAGTCTCATGCATTCCTCCTTCCCTGAGCCCACTCCTCATGAATAAAACAGGATCCCAAAGCAAAATATCACTCCTAGAAATCTGATGCTATTTCACACTGAAACCTGACATCATTCAATGGTATACACCTTCCCTGAGATATGAGGATCATTGCATCATTTTTCAGATGCATACACAGAACTGCTAACTTGCCAGAATTTACAGATACTTGCACGCCTTCAACAACAGTTAGCCAAAGCACAGACTGTTGTGAGCAGACTGACTCTTACCAGGTTGAGCTCCCTCTGGAACAGAGGGAGATCTTAAAAGAGAGAGAGAGAGCGCTTCCTTTTAAGGGGTAGAAATACTAGACAAAGCCCCTTTCTACTCTACAATGATAGGACTTCATCCTAACCCTGTCCTTCCAAAAGATTCGAGTATGAATTCCTTCAGAAGACTTCACTGAAATGCTCTCCACATTCTAATCCCCAGGCAGGTCAAGCACATCTCCTCCAAGTCCTTAGGGCTGGGGATATATGTCACTTCTGTACTGCTTACCACAATATGCCTTAATTATCCACTGCTTCGCCTGTCTCTCCCGCTAGTCAGTGTGTCCCATGAAGGCCTTGGATTTGCCTTGCACATCCCTGTGCCCCAGTACACGGGCCATGCCAGGGACAAATGTCAACAAAGTAAATTCTACCACCTTGCACAGAGACTAGGGGAGTCGGCTTTCAAATTCTCTGCATGGAAGAGGCCACAACTGTTTTTCCTAAGGAAGAGCTTGGATATTCTCCCAGATATAATTTTGGAAGTATTAAATATTCAGCTCTTGGTACTGAGAGCCTCTCTGGGGTTGGTTCAAGGAAAGCTAAGCCTCTCCAAAGAGGGCGGTAAGTACTGAATAGCTGTACACACAGGGGGCTGCAAGCTTTATTCCAACCAAGGGGAACATACACAAATCCTAGAAAAAGCTAAGGAGATGTTGTTCTTTTAATTCTTTTAACCCTCATCCCCCGTATGTTCACAGGTCCATAGGTTGCCTGAAGTTCAGTGGATCTCGTGGGGGTCCGCTGGGCAACTCTGCTTCTGGGGGCAGCAGACCGTGGCTTCAAACTGCGCTGGATGTAGGTCGGCTCCTTGTCTGTCTTCCTCCTCAGACCAGGACTATCTGGGTCATGTACTTTTCACAGCAAGTGGCAACAGCACAAGACAAGCGAGATCATGTAAATACCTTTAAAATCGCTGTATATATCACATCTGCTCATATTCTATCTGCCAAAGTCTATCTCAAGGCCATGCCCAAAGGCGGTAGAGCTGGGATGCACACTCCACTCAAGAGAGGAGAATGTTAGGTGAATGTGTGCTTATTAAAAGTCCAACCTAGCACAGCTCTCAGTGCTCTAAACCAGGGGTTGGCAAACGATAGCCTGGAGGTCAACTATGGCTTGCTACCTATTTCTGAGTATCAGGTTTTAACACACCACCACCACACCCATTCTTATGGTCTGTGGAGGCTTTCACACTAGGATGACAGAGGTGAACTGTCACAACAGAATATTTTATGGCTAAAATATTTCCTATCTGCATTTTTCTAGAAAGAGGGATTATTGCTTTCATCAGCTTCACAAAGGAGACTCGGGCGAGATTTGGAGTTAACTCAGGTTAGCAACTCTAATACTCTAATTGATGAACATTAGTTTTTCCAAAGCCATGCTCTGATGGTGATTAGCGGAACCCTGCAGCTCATTCTTATTTTTCCACCGAGGGCTCTAGTGACACACCACAGGTTATGCTGGCTTACCTGAGGGCCACTTCACATGGCATGAACATGCTGCTCTTTCCTTACCTCCACACTACTAGAATTGGAGAAAAACTCTTGTCTCCTCTATCCTGGTAGCTTCTTAAATGATGATTATCCATCCCAGGTGGGAAAAAAAAAACAAGAGCAAAATGAATTGAGATCCTTTCTGCTTCAAAGAAGAATTGCTTCCATCTTTGGGAGTCTTCCACGGCACTGGTCCCCAGGCTGGGTGCAAAGCTGAGCCCAAACTTCTACTCCATCTGCTTGAGGACAGAATTGACACTACCCAGACGGTAAACAGCAGCTGCTCTGCATGCTAGCCACCACTGCCGGCCTCACACAAAGTCCCACCGTTGCTTGTACCTTCCTAGACAGAGCCTCTGGGCACCTGCTGGGGCCATCAAACCACATCTTTCATCCCCAACACCCAGCCTGCTTCTCTTACTACTTCTGGCCACAGCCAGAACATGTGTGTTCTCCTCCAAGAGCGTGTCAGAATAACAGACACTAAAATAATTTAATTCAGAAGGACTTTGGTCATCATCTTAACCAAAGGCCTAGGGAGCAGAACTGGCTCACTGACATGTCTTGTTTGGTCTGGCCCAGTGTTTCTCAAGATTTTGAACTAAGTGCTAACATTTTAAATAATAAAGTTGCA